AGGCGCAGGGTCAGGGGACGGAAGGCCGAGCAGACGGAGGGCGGACACCGGCGGGGACTGCTGCTGCGGCGACACAACACCAACGCCAGGGCCACAAGCTGCGCGACGGCTACCTCCCGAACCCTCCACACCGGCACCCCCAGAAGGGACACCCCCAGAGCCCGAAACACCGCCAGCACCGGTACCACCCCCAGGCCCGCGGGGACGAGCCACGACGGGAGCCCCGGGACGAGTACCCACCTCAACTCCAGCACCCCCAGAGTCCACAAACAGCGGCAGCGACGACGGCGGCGGCGGCGGAGACGACGGCTGCAGCAGCTGCGGCGACGGCGGCTGCGGAGGCGGTGGAGGAGGAGACACCGGGGGAGGGACAGACGGCGAGGACTGCGCCAAAGGACTACCAGAGTCAGAAGACTCGTCGACCGGAACGACCGACGGGAGGGGGGTGACGTGAGACACACCAGAGGGGGCCGGACGGGGGGGCGGGGGGGGGGAGGGGCAGGGGCCACCAGGGAGGGAGGAACCAGGAACAGGGGGGGAGTAACCGGGGGACCACGGTGGGGAAAGCGGCGGAAGAAGGAGACGGACTCGTCAAAGGTGACGTCGCGAGAGTGAAAGAAACGGTGAGACGGCGGGTGGTAGAAGTGCCAGTCGGACGCGTCAAGGGGGAAACCGAGGAAGACGCAGGGGAGGGTGCGGGCAGTGAGCTTGTCCGTGCCAGAGGCACGAACGTGAGCAAGGCAGCCCCAGACGTGGAACGCAGACGCGTCACCAGGGGACCCGGTCCACAGAAGGGTCGGCGAAACCTGCGGCCGCTGGGGGTGCGGCCACAGGTTAAGCTGGTGAGCGGCGTAGCGCACGGCGAACGGCCACAGAAAATGGGGTGCACCGGCGTGGATCATGGAGGTGCGAGCCACCTCCATGACCAAACCGATGCGTCGCTCAGCGACCCCATTCTGCTGCGGGGAGTCCGGCAAGGTAAACGTCTGGGTGATGCCCTCCGCACGACAGAAGCGACCAAGGACACCTGAGGCGAACTCGCCACCCCGGTCGGAGTGGAGGCGCAAGGCAGGGAGACCGCGGTGGAGACGAGCAGAGACAAGCCAGGGGATGAGAACGTCAGGCACGTCGGCCTTCCGCTCCAGGGGAAAGACGGTGGTGTAACGTGTGAAGTCGTCGACAAGCACTAGGAAGAAGCGCTCGCGACGCGGCCCATGGACCGGGGCTGGGCCCCAGACGTCCATGTGCAGAGTCTGCAGGGGTGCGGTGGTAGGGGGAAAAGAGGAGGAGTGAGGGGCACGGCGGAGCCGGCCCTCGACACAAGGCGTGCACGGTGGGGCGGGGGATGAGGGAAACTCAGGGAACGAACCGGGGAGACCAAGGACGAGACCGTGCTGGGACATGTGACGCAGACGCGGGAGTGCAGGGTGACCAAGGCGGTGGTGCCAAAGGAGAGTCGGGTGAGTGAGGGACCGACAGGAGCACGCAGCAGCAACCTGGGTGGACGCAGCGACCTGGGGGGAAGACCCAGCCGGGGAAGTCGCGGTGTCAAGTGTGAACAGGCCGGACACCGGGTCCCGGGGGAAAGTGGTAAGGGGGGCACCAGTGGCGGCCTCGGTACAGACAGCATACCGCTCGTGACCAGGGAACGTAGTGGTGACGCCAAGGTCCTGGAGGCAGCCGACACCAACTAGGTTCCTGGAGAACGAGGGGATATGCAGACCTGTGAGCGAACCTGAAGGAACCGCCGGACAGGGAAGGGAGGTGGAGCTGCGGGCAACGACGGGACCACCGGAGGGGTCAGCAAGAGTAACTGCAGCGGGAACAGGCAGCGGCGTCAGCGTCGTGGAGTCGCGGAAGAAACACCGGGAGGCGCCAGAGTCCAAGGTGAAGGAAAGCGCAGCAGTCGCGCGAGGCGGCAGTGAAGTGGTGGAAGCACCGAGGCTAAGCAAAGCAGGAGATCCTACGCCTGGCGCAGCAGGGGAGTCTACGCTAGGCACAGCTACACTAGGCAACACGGGGTAATAGGAGGGAAGCACACTAGAGTCATCGGCATACATCACATGCAAGGCTGCTACAATGGCATCCATGTCCAAGTCAAAAATCCGAATGCTACGCCTAAGCAAGCTGTGCCAGTCCGGGAGGTCGGGCGCCGGGCCAAAGCGCTGGCGGAACAGGTCGTCCAGACGACGAAAACAGCGAGGAGTGGAATGACCGATCTTACCGCAAACGAAGCCGCGGCGAGGACCGGTCTGGATCTGGTACTGACAGGGCCCGCCTCCAGAACCACCACCCGGTGCACCACCACGCGCACGACCACCACCAGCTCCAGGCCACCCAGGCGGGAGAGCACTCGCCGGCCTCGTCTGCGGCGGCTGCTGCGGCTGCTGCGGAGGCTGCTGCTGCTGCGGCTGCTGCAACGGTGGAGGCAGTGGGGCAGCTGGACCGGGCAGGATCCCCACGTCCGCACCGGCACCGGACGACCCGCCTCCACCACTACCCGCACCCCCGCCACCTCCGCCGCTCCCAACCTTGGGGCGGCGGCCCTTCCCCGAGCGGGACTGCACTGCAGCAGCAGTCTCAGCCACAGCGACAGAGCCGTCGGAGAAGGTACACTGAGCGGGGGCACAACCCTGAAAGATAGGGACCGGTACGGTACCGCTCGCCTGGGCAATGGAGCGGTGACGAGTCTCTATGGCAGTCAGGGTGTCAACAAAGTCGGTGAGGGTGAGAGCAGCAGGGTGGATGCTAAGGAACTGGTCGCGGGCGGCGGCAAGGCGGTCAGGGAGGCGGGTGGCAAGGAGGTAGAGGGTAGAGGTCATGGGAGGCTGGTGGACTCTAAGCTGTGCATCAGTGCAGGCAGCGCGCCAGGCCTCATCTATCGAGCGCAGGTGGGCAGCGAGGTCAGAGACAGTGGGGAAGGACGCCAGGTCAGGAAAGAGCAGGGGGAGGATCAGGCGACCCACTGAGGCAGCAGGAGGGGTAGAATAGCGCTTGATGACAGCATCGAGGTAGGCCTGGGCGGTAGTAATGGTTCTAAAGCGAGGGCGCTCAAGGGGGGGAGGGCATTGCTAATGGCGAGCTGAGCAAGGGCATCGCGGGAAAGCCAGACAGAGCGGGCAAGGGCAGCGGCGGCAGTGGACTCGCGCTCAGCGGGCGTGGGATCAGCAGGCAGCACAGCAGGGGGGTCAGGGCAGGGGAGCATACCGTCTAGGTGTGCAGAAAGCGGGTGGCCGTCCTGCCGCTGACCAGTGAGGTGGCGGCGAAGGTCAGCCAACCACGCCTCGAACTCCAGAGGCTGACCCTCAGCATCAAAACGAAGCTCAGCAGCCATGAGGGGCAGTGGAGGACAGTGGAGTGCGGTGTAGTGCTGTGCAGTGCGGTGCAGGGCGGTGCAGTGCGGTCCAGTGCGGTGCAGGGCGATGCAGTGCGGTGCAGTGCGGTTCAGTGCGGTGCAGTGCGGTCAGTGCGGTTCAGTGAGGTGCAATGCGGTGCAAGGCGGGGCAGGAAAGTACAGGAGGGTGCAAAGTGGTGCGGGGAACGGGGGACAGTACCAGGAAGTATGGAGGGCCGGGGCAGGCGCGACGGGGCCGGGCAGGCGCGACGGGGCCGGGCAGGCACGTCGAGGCCGGGCAGGCGCGACGGGGCCGGGCAGGCGCGACGGGGCCGGGCGGCTGCGACGGGGCCGGGCGGCTGCGACGGGGCCGGGCGGCAGCGACAAGGCCGGGCGGCAGCTACGAGGCCGGGCGGCTGCGACGGGGCCGGGCGGCTGCGACGGGGCCGGGCGGCTGCGACGGGGCCGGGCGGCTGCGACGGGGCCGGGCGGCAGCGACAAGGCCGGGCGGCACCTACGAGGCCGGGCGGCAGCGACAGGGCCGGGCGGCAGCTACGAGGCCGGGCGGGAGCGTCAGGGCCGGGCGGCAGCGACGGGGCCGGGCAGGACACAGCAGGGCCGGGCGGGGGCGACGGGGCCGGGCGGGCGCGACGGGGCCGGGCAGGTGCGACAGGGGCCGGGCAGCTGCGACAGGGGCAGGGCGGGCGCCACGGGGCCGAGAGGCCGCGACAGGGCCGAGCTGGGGCGACGGGGCCGAGCAGGGGCGACGGGGCCGAGCAGGGGCGACGGGGCCCAGGAGGGTGGATACGGGGCCCAGGGAGGAGCGCGGCAGGGCCCAGGAGGGGCGCAACAGGCCCAGGAGGGGCGCTACGGGCCCAGGAGGGGCGCAATGGGGGCCCAGGAGGGGCGCGGCGGGGCCCAGGAGGGGCGCAATGGGGGGGCCCAGGAGGGGCGCTACGGGCCCAGGAGGGGCACTACGGGCCTAGGAGGGGCACGACGGGGCCTGGGAGGGGCACGACGGGGCCCAGGAGGGGCGCTACAGGGCCCAGGGAGGGCGCGACGGGGCCAGTAGGGGCGCTACGGAGCCCAGGAGGGGCGCGACGGGGCCTGGGAGGGGCGTTACGAAGCCCAGGAGGGGCGCTACGAAGCCCAGGAGGGGCGCTACGGGGCGCGACGGGGCGCGACGGGGCCTGTGAGGAGCGCGACGGGGCCCAGGAGGGGCGCTAAGGGGCGCGACGGGGCCCTGGAGGGGCGCTACTGGGCCCAGGAGGGGCGCTACGGGGCCCAGGAGGGGCGCTAGGGGGCGCGACGGGGCCCTGGAGGGGCGCTACAGAGCCCTGGAGGGGCGCGACGGGGGCCTGGAGGGGCGTTACGAAGCCCTGGAAGGGGGGCGCGACGGGGCCTGGAGGGGCGCTACGAGGCCCTGGAAGGGGCGCGACGGGGCTAGGGGGAGGGGTCGCGACTGGGCTCAGGAGGGGCGAGGCGAGGCTAGGAGACGCGACGGGAGGAGCGGAAGCGATAGGTGGGGGGGGGGGGGGGGGGGGGGGGGGGGGGGGGGGTCGAAACCTACTCGTGATACCATATCAAACCTAGAATTGAATAATGTGAGAGAGAGTACACAAACATATACCTAAATGTTGTACTCTCTAGAAGGTGACCCTATACAGTCTATACAAACATGATAACTACACATGTTTGACAAATCCAGAGTCTCCACAATCTCCACCTCCAAGCCAAATAGGCATATAAAAAAAAATGCATGTGCACTCAGTTGCCTAAGTGAACTTAGTTTGCTCAGCTGAAGCCAAGGGTGTGCACACCATTATTTTACTGGTTAACAGCTGCCCACCTAAACAACGATAGTACATGACCCTAGGCAATCGGTTGGATTGGCAGCAGCACTCCGGTTTTTTCTCTATGCCCACCTTATTTTATTTTTACGCATCTCGCCTTGCGGACTATTTATTCTACTGCCGGTAGCAGCTGCCAGGGCCAGGGGCCTCGGACCGAGCATGGGCGTTGTCCACGGGAGCAGCCTCTATTCCCCGGGATGTGAGCAGGCAGCGGAACATGTGCAGGCGGATATGAGCTTGGGAGAAAGGCGCGTCGACGTATGCCTGGGGACTCCATAGGCGCTCTAAGAGGTGGTGACGAGAGAGAGAAAGGGGAAAGACGGGATGTGAGCAGGCAGGGGAACATGTGCCGGCCGATGAGAGCTTGGGAGCTCCATAGGCGCTGGGAGGGAAGGGAGGGAGGGGGTCTGTGAGCAAGCGGGGGAAGGTGTGCCGGCTAAGAAAATATAATGTTTCAAGAAGACAACCAAACAGCGCACCAAACACGAAAGGGCAATAAAAGAGAACACCAACAGCAAAATATCACTAGCTTCAACCAACCACTACCACCCTGTCGCCATCTCACCATCATCACCCTCTCACCATCATCACCCTCTCACCATCATCACCCTCTCACCATCATCACCCTCTCACCATCATCACCCTCTCACCATCATCACCATCTCACCATCATCACCCTCTCACCATCATCACCCTCTCACCATCATCACCCTCTCACCATCAGCACCATCTCACCATCATCACCATCTCACCCTCATCACCCTCTCACCAGCAGCATCACCCTCTCACCAGCAGCATCACCCTCTCACCAGCAGCATCACCCTCTCACCAGCAGCATCACCCTCTCACCAGCAGCATCACCCTCTCACCAGCAGCATCACCCTCTCACCAGCAGCAGCAGCGGCACGCGGCCAGACAGTGTTGAGAATGTCTGAGGGGTCGACCCTCTCCCCCCACATGCACGTCTCCCCCCCCATCACCAGCGGCCGCAGCGGCGCTGGCACCGCTTCTGTCGGCTCCTGAGAATACACCTGAAGGCAACAGAGCAGAAAACGAGAGAGGGGAACAGATAGGAGGCAGCAGCAAGGGGGGAATCAACTCAGCTTGGAACTAGACTAAAACTAGCTTACATCCTTAATCATACTGCTGGCCGCTCTCCTCTATCCACGACAACTTACATCGCATCTACTCTCCCCTCATGCTCTTCTGTCAGCTCAAATCAACTCACCACCACATGCTCTCCAACTCACCACCCCATGCTCTCCAACTCACCACCGCATGCTCATCTGTCAACTCACCACCGCATGCTCTCTCGTCAACTCACCACCGCATGCTCATCTGTCAACTCACCACCGCATGCTCTCCTGTCAAATCACCACCGCATGCTCTCCTGTCAACTCACCACCGCATGCTCATCTGTCAACTCACCACCGCATGCTCTCCTGTCAACTCACCACCGCATGCTCTCCTGTCAACTCACCACCGCATGCTCATGTGTCAACTCACCACCACATGCTCTCCTGTCAACTCACCACCGCATGCTCTCCTGTCAGCTCACCACCGCATGCTCTCCAACTCACCACCACATGCTCTCCAACTCACCACCACATGCTCTCCAACTCAACACCACATGCTCTCCAACTCACCACCACATGCTCTCCAACTCACCACCACATGCTCTCCAACTCACCACCACATGCTCTCCAACTCACCACCCCATGCTCTCCAACTCACCACCGCATGCTCATCTGTCAACTCACCACCGCATGCTCTCTCGTCAACTCACCACCGCATGCTCATCTGTCAACTCACCACCGCATGCTCTCCTGTCAAATCACCACCGCATGCTCTCCTGTCAACTCACCACCGCATGCTCATCTGTCAACTCACCACCGCATGCTCTCCTGTCAACTCACCACCGCATGCTCTCCTGTCAACTCACCACCGCATGCTCATGTGTCAACTCACCACCACATGCTCTCCTGTCAACTCACCACCGCATGCTCTCCTGTCAGCTCACCACCGCATGCTCTCCAACTCACCACCACATGCTCTCCAACTCACCACCACATGCTCTCCAACTCAACACCACATGCTCTCCAACTCACCACCACATGCTCTCCAACTCACCACCACATGCTCTCCAACTCACCACCACATGCTCTCCAACTCACCACCACATGCTCTCCAACTCACCACCACATGCTCTCCAACTCACCACCCCACGCTCTCCAACTCACCACCGCATGCTCATCTGTCAACTCACCACCGCATGCTCTCTCGTCAACTCACCACCGCATGCTCATCTGTCAACTCACCACCGCATGCTCTCCTGTCAAATCACCACCGCATGCTCTCCTGTCAACTCACCACCGCATGCTCATCTGTCAACTCACCACCGCATGCTCTCCTGTCAACTCACCACCGCATGCTCTCCTGTCAACTCACCACCGCATGCTCTCCTGTCAACTCACCACCGCATGCTCTCCTGTCAACTCACCACCGCATGCTCTCATGTGTCAACTCACCACCGCATGCTCTCCTGTCTCAACTCACCACCGCATGCTCTCATGTGTCAACTCACCACCGCATGCTCTCATGTGTGAACTCACCACCGCATGCTCTCCTGTGTCAACTCACCACTGCATGCTCTCCTGTGTCAACTCACCACCGCATGCTCAGGTGTCAACTCACCACCGCATGCTCTCCTGTGTCAACTCACCACTGCATGCTCTCCTGTGTCAACTCACCACCGCATGCTCTCTCGTCAACTCACCACCGCATGCTCTCCTGTCAACTCACCACCGCATGCTCTCCTGTCAACTCACCACCGCATGCTCTCCTGTCACTCACCACCGCATGCTCTCCTGTCAACTCACCACCGCATGCTCTCCTGTCAACTCACCACCGCATGCTCTCATGTGTCAACTCACCACCGCATGCTCTCCTGTCTCAACTCACCACCGCATGCTCTCATGTGTCAACTCACCACCGCATGCTCTCATGTGTCAACTCACCACCGCATGCTCTCCTGTGTCAACTCACCACTGCATGCTCTCCTGTGTCAACTCACCACCGCATGCTCAGGTGTCAACTCACCACCGCATGCTCATGTGTCAACTCACCACCGCATGCTCTCCTGTCAACTCACCACCGCATGCTCTCCTGTCAGCTCACCACCGCATGCTCTCCTGTCAACTCACCACCGCATGCTCTCCTGTCAACTCACCACCGCATGCTCTCATGTGTCAACTCACCACCGCATGCTCTCCTGTCTCAACTCACCACCGCATGCTCTCATGTGTCAACTCACCACCGCATGCTCTCATGTGTGAACTCACCACCGCATGCTCTCCTGTGTCAACTCACCACTGCATGCTCTCCTGTGTCAACTCACCACCGCATGCTCAGGTGTCAACTCACCACCGCATGCTCTCCTGTCAACTCACCACCGCATGCTCTCCTGTCAACTCACCACCGCATGCTCTCATGTGTCAACTCACCACCGCATGCTCTCATGTGTGAACTCACCACCGCATGCTCTCCTGTGTCAACTCACCACTGCATGCTCTCCTGTGTCAACTCACCACCGCATGCTCAGGTGTCAACTCACCACCGCATGCTCTCCTGTCAACTCACCACCGCATGCTCTCCTGTCAACTCACCACCGCATGCTCTCATGTGTCAACTCACCACCGCATGCTCTCCTGTCTCAACTCACCACCGCATGCTCTCATGTGTCAACTCACCACCGCATGCTCTCATGTGTCAACTCACCACCTCATGCTCTCCTGTGTCAACTCACCACCGCATGCTCTCCTGTGTCAACTCACCACCGCATGCTCTCCTGTCAACTCACCACCGCATGCTCTCCTGTCAACTCACCACCGTATGCTCTCCTGTCAACTCACCACCGCATGCTCATGTGTAAAGTCACCACCGCATGCTCTCATGTGTCAACTCACCACCACATGCTCTCCTGTCAACTCACCACCGCATGCTCTCCTGTCAGCTCACCACCGCATGCTCTCCAACTCACCACCACATGCTCTCCAACTCACCACCACATGCTTCTCCAACTCAACACCACATGCTCTCCAACTCACCACCACATGCTCTCCAACTCACCACCACATGCTCTCCAACTCACCACCACATGCTCTCCAACTCACCACCACATGCTCTCCAACTCACCACCCCATGCTCTCCAACTCACCACCGCATGCTCATCTGTCAACTCACCACCGCATGCTCTCTCGTCAACTCACCACCGCATGCTCATCTGTCAACTCACCACCGCATGCTCTCCTGTCAAATCACCACCGCATGCTCTCCTGTCAACTCACCACCGCATGCTCATCTGTCAACTCACCACCGCATGCTTCCTGTCAACTCACCACCGCATGCTCTCCTCTCAACTCACCACCGCATGCTCATGTGTCAACTCACCACCACATGCTCTCCTGTCAACTCACCACCGCATGCTCTCCTGTCAGCTCACCACCGCATGCTCTCCAACTCACCACCACATGCTCTCCAACTCACCACCACATGCTCTCCAACTCAACACCACATGCTCTCCAACTCACCACCACATGCTCTCCAACTCACCACCACATGCTCTCCAACTCACCACCACATGCTCTCCAACTCACCACCACATGCTCTCCAACTCACCACCACATGCTCTCCAACTCACCACCCCACGCTCTCCAACTCACCACCGCATGCTCATCTGTCAACTCACCACCGCATGCTCTCTCGTCAACTCACCACCGCATGCTCATCTGTCAACTCACCACCGCATGCTCTCCTGTCAAATCACCACCGCATGCTCTCCTGTCAACTCACCACCGCATGCTCATCTGTCAACTCACCACCGCATGCTCTCCTGTCAACTCACCACCGCATGCTCTCCTGTCAACTCACCACCGCATGCTCATGTGTCAACTCACCACCGCATGCTCTCCTGTCAACTCACCACCGCATGCTCTCATGTGTCAACTCACCACCGCATGCTCTCCTGTCTCAACTCACCACCGCATGCTCTCATGTGTCAACTCACCACCGCATGCTCTCATGTGTGAACTCACCACCGCATGCTCTCCTGTGTCAACTCACCACTGCATGCTCTCCTGTGTCAACTCACCACCGCATGCTCAGGTGTCAACTCACCACCGCATGCTCTCCTGTGTCAACTCACCACTGCATGCTCTCCTGTGTCAACTCACCACCGCATGCTCTCTCGTCAACTCACCACCGCATGCTCTCCTGTCAACTCACCACCGCATGCTCTCCTGTCAACTCACCACCGCATGCTCTCCTGTCAGCTCACCACCGCATGCTCTCCTGTCAACTCACCACCGCATGCTCTCCTGTCAACTCACCACCGCATGCTCTCATGTGTCAACTCACCACCGCATGCTCTCCTGTCTCAACTCACCACCGCATGCTCTCATGTGTCAACTCACCACCGCATGCTCTCATGTGTGAACTCACCACCGCATGCTCTCCTGTGTCAACTCACCACTGCATGCTCTCCTGTGTCAACTCACCACCGCATGCTCAGGTGTCAACTCACCACCGCATGCTCATGTGTCAACTCACCACCGCATGCTCTCCTGTCAACTCACCACCGCATGCTCTCCTGTCAGCTCACCACCGCATGCTCTCCTGTCAACTCACCACCGCATGCTCTCCTGTCAACTCACCACCGCATGCTCTCATGTGTCAACTCACCACCGCATGCTCTCCTGTCTCAACTCACCACCGCATGCTCTCATGTGTCTACTCACCACCGCATGCTCTCATGTGTGAACTCACCACCGCATGCTCTCCTGTGTCAACTCACCACTGCATGCTCTCCTGTGTCAACTCACCACCGCATGCTCAGGTGTCAACTCACCACCGCATGCTCTCCTGTCAACTCACCACCGCATGCTCTCCTGTCAACTCACCACCGCATGCTCTCATGTGTCAACTCACCACCGCATGCTCTCATGTGTGAACTCACCACCGCATGCTCTCCTGTGTCAACTCACCACTGCATGCTCTCCTGTGTCAACTCACCACCGCATGCTCAGGTGTCAACTCACCACCGCATGCTCTCCTGTCAACTCACCACCGCATGCTCTCCTGTCAACTCACCACCGCATGCTCTCATGTGTCAACTCACCACCGCATGCTCTCCTGTCTCAACTCACCACCGCATGCTCTCATGTGTCAACTCACCACCGCATGCTCTCATGTGTCAACTCACCACCTCATGCTCTCCTGTGTCAACTCACCACCGCATGCTCTCCTGTGTCAACTCACCACCGCATGCTCTCCTGTCAACTCACCACCGCATGCTCTCCTGTCAACTCACCACCGTATGCTCTCCTGTCAACTCACCACCGCATGCTCATGTGTAAAGTCACCACCGCATGCTCTCATGTGTCAACTCACCACCACATGCTCTCCTGTCAACTCACCACCGCATGCTCTCCTGTCAGCTCACCACCGCATGCTCTCCAACTCACCACCACATGCTCTCCAACTCACCACCACATGCTCTCCAACTCAACACCACATGCTCTCCAACTCACCACCACATGCTCTCCAACTCACCACCACATGCTCTCCAACTCACCACCACATGCTCTCCAACTCACCACCACATGCTCTCCAACTCACCACCCCATGCTCTCCAACTCACCACCGCATGCTCATCTGTCAACTCACCACCGCATGCTCTCTCGTCAACTCACCACCGCATGCTCATCTGTCAACTCACCACCGCATGCTCTCCTGTCAAATCACCACCGCATGCTCTCCTGTCAACTCACCACCGCATGCTCATCTGTCAACTCACCACCGCATGCTCTCCTGTCAACTCACCACCGCATGCTCTCCTGTCAACTCACCACCGCATGCTCATGTGTCAACTCACCACCACATGCTCTCCTGTCAACTCACCACCGCATGCTCTCCTGTCAGCTCACCACCGCATGCTCTCCAACTCACCACCACATGCTCTCCAACTCACCACCACATGCTCTCCAACTCAACACCACATGCTCTCCAACTCACCACCACATGCTCTCCAACTCACCACCACATGCTCTCCAACTCACCACCACATGCTCTCCAACTCACCACCACATGCTCTCCAACTCACCACCACATGCTCTCCAACTCACCACCCCACGCTCTCCAACTCACCACCGCATGCTCATCTGTCAACTCACCACCGCATGCTCTCTCGTCAACTCACCACCGCATGCTCATCTGTCAACTCACCACCGCATGCTCTCCTGTCAAATCACCACCGCATGCTCTCCTGTCAACTCACCACCGCATGCTCATCTGTCAACTCACCACCGCATGCTCTCCTGTCAACTCACCACCGCATGCTCTCCTGTCAACTCACCACCGCATGCTCATGTGTCAACTCACCACCGCATGCTCTCCTGTCAACTCACCACCGCATGCTCTCATGTGTCAACTCACCACCGCATGCTCTCCTGTCTCAACTCACCACCGCATGCTCTCATGTGTCAACTCACCACCGCATGCTCTCATGTGTGAACTCACCACCGCATGCTCTCCTGTGTCAACTCACCACTGCATGCTCTCCTGTGTCAACTCACCACCGCATGCTCAGGTGTCAACTCACCACCGCATGCTCTCCTGTGTCAACTCACCACTGCATGCTCTCCTGTGTCAACTCACCACCGCATGCTCTCTCGTCAACTCACCACCGCATGCTCTCCTGTCAACTCACCACCGCATGCTCTCCTGTCAACTCACCACCGCATGCTCTCCTGTCAGCTCACCACCGCATGCTCTCCTGTCAACTCACCACCGCATGCTCTCCTGTCAACTCACCACCGCATGCTCTCATGTGTCAACTCACCACCGCATGCTCTCCTGTCTCAACTCACCACCGCATGCTCTCATGTGTCAACTCACCACCGCATGCTCTCATGTGTGAACTCACCACCGCATGCTCTCCTGTGTCAACTCACCACTGCATGCTCTCCTGTGTCAACTCACCACCGCATGCTCAGGTGTCAACTCACCACCGGCATGCTCATGTGTCAACTCACCACCGCATGCTCTCCTGTCAACTCACCACCGCATGCTCTCCTGTCAGCTCACCACCGCATGCTCTCCTGTCAACTCACCACCGCATGCTCTCCTGTCAACTCACCACCGCATGCTCTCATGTGTCAACTCACCACCGCATGCTCTCCTGTCTCAACTCACCACCGCATGCTCTCATGTGTCAACTCACCACCGCATGCTCTCATGTGTGAACTCACCACCGCATGCTCTCCTGTGTCAACTCACCACTGCATGCTCTCCTGTGTCAACTCACCACCGCATGCTCAGGTGTCAACTCACCACCGCATGCTCTCCTGTCAACTCACCACCGCATGCTCTCCTGTCAACTCACCACCGCATGCTCTCATGTGTCACTCACCACCGCATGCTCTCTGTGTCAACTCACCACCGGCATGCTCTCATGGTGTCAACTCACCACCGCATGCTCTCCTGTGTCAACTCCACCGCATGCTCAGGTGTCACTCACCACCGCATGCTCTCCTGTCAACTCACCACCGCATGCTCTGTCAACTCACCACCGCATGCTCTCCTGTCAACTCACCACCGCATGCTCTCCTGTTCAACTCACCACCGCATGCTCTCATGTGTCAACTCACCACCGCATGCTCTCATGTGTCAACTCACCACCGCATGCTCTCCTGTGTCAACTCACCACCGCATGCTCTCCTGTGTCAACTCACCACCGCATGCTCTCCTGTCAACTCACCACCGCATGCTCTCCTGTCAACTCACCACCGCATGCTCTCCTGTCAACTCACCACGCATGCTCATGTGTAATCACCACGCATGCTCTCTGTGTCAACTCACCACCGCATGCTCTCATGTGTCAACTCACCACCGCATGCTCCTCCTGTGTCAACTCACACCACTCTGGTTATGCTCTCCTGTCAACTTTTCTGTCACTCACCGCCATGCTCATGTGTAAGTCCCCCGCATGCTCATCAACTCACCACCGCATGCTCTCATGTGTCAACTCACCACCGCATGTCTCCTGTGTAACTCACGACCGCATGCTCTTCGGTGTCAACTCACCACCGCATGCTCTCCTGTCAACTCACCACCGCATGCTCTCCTGTCAACTCACCACCGCATGCTCTCATGTGTCAACTCACCACCGCATGCTCTCCTGTGTTAACTCACGACCGCATGCTCTTCGGTGTCAACTCACCACCGCATGCTCTCCTGTCAACTCACCACCGCATGCTCTCCTGTCAACTCACCACCGCATGCTCTCCTGTCAACTCACCACCGCATGCTCTCCTGTAAACTCACCACCGCATGCTCTCCTGTCAACTCACCACCGCATGCTCTCCTGTCAACTCACCACCACATGCTCTCCTGTCAACTCACCACCGCATGCTCATGTGTCAACTCACCACTGCATGCTCATGTGTCAATTACCACCGCATGCTCATGTGTCAACTCACCACCACATGCTCATGTGTCAACTCACCACCGCATGCTCATGTGTCAACTCATCACCGCATACTCTCCTGTCAACTGTCCTGTCAACTCTCCTGTCAACTCTCCTGTCAACTCTCCTGTCAACTCACCTCTCTCCACGTGCTCATGTGTCACCTCACCACTCTCCACGTGCTCATGTGTCACCTCACCTCTCTCCACGTGCTCATGTGTCACCTCACCTCTCTCCACGTGCTCATGTGTCACCTCACCTCTCTCCACGTGCTCATGTGTCACCTCACCTCTCTCCACGTGCGCTCCGTGAAGTCAAGGTACCAGCCGCGGTTCAGATTGCTGAAGATCATTCGGAATCCAGACTTGACTATCGCGGGCGGCAGGGAGACGTCAAACCTACATTGGGTGGGGAGAGGGTGGGGGGAGGGTGGGGGAGGGTGGGGGAGGGTGCGGAGGGAGGGGAGGGTCGAGTTTGACAGTGTGACAAACTCATGTAGAGGGGAGGGTGGGGAGAGGGTGGGGGGAGGGCGGGGGGAGGGAGGGGAGGGTCGGGCACAAGGTGTCGAGTTTGACAGCATGACAGGTTAATGTCTCACGAGGGCAGAAGGGGTCGACTCTTCTGACCTGCCTCCGCCATGGGGCAGCTGAGAGGCAGCTGAGTGGCAGCTGAGTGGCAGCTGAGCGGCAGCTGAGCGGCAAGGACCAGAGAAGGTCTAAACACAAAGGGTTAGTGTTGGCTGGGCAGAGCAACGGGACACCAAGGAGGACAAGCACGCTCACAGGCTGCGTGCACTGAGGACACGCGTCTCTGGACAACGGTGGTAGCAGACGCTGTTAATCACCCTTTCCCTTCCGAAACACCTCCTCGCCCCCTCCGTACCCTGCCCCCCACATCCCCCCTCCCCTCCCCCCACCCACCAGTTCTGCACGATGGTGGTGGCTGGGTCCAGGTCTCCGCCAAACACCCGAACAAAAGCACCCTGGGCACAGGCACGCACGCACACACACACCCACACACCCACTACATTCCTCCCCGACCCCCCCACAGCCACACACACACAACGCACACCCACCAGTTCTGGACGATGGAAGGTGGCTAGGTCCACGTCTCACACAAACACACGAACAAAAACACACTGGGCACACGCACGCACGCACGCACCCACACACACCCACTACATTCCTCCCCAATCCCCCCCACAACCACACACACACACCCACTACATTCCTCCCCAATCCCCCAACAACCACACACACACACCCACTACATTCCTCCCCAATCCCCCCCACAACCACACACAAACACCCACTACATTCCTCCCCAATCCCCCCCACAACCACACACACACACCCACTACATTCCTCCCCAATCCCCCCAACAACCACGCACACACACCCACTACATTCCTCCCCAATCCCCCCAACAACCTCACACACACACCCACTACATTCCTCCCCAATCCCCCCCACAACCACACACACACACCCACTACATTCCTCCCCAATCCCCCCAACAACCACACACACACACCCACTACATTCCTCCCCAATCCCCCCAACAACCTCACACACACACCCACTACATTCCTCCCCAATCCCCCCAACACCACACACACACACCCACTATATTCCTCCCCAATCCCCCCACAACCACACACACACACCCACTACATTCCTCCCCAATCCCCCACAACCACACACACACACCCACTACATTCCTCCCCGATCCCCCCCACAACCACACACACACACCCACTACATTCCTCCCCAATCCCCCACAACCACACACACACACCCACTACATTCCTCCCCAATCCCCCCAACAACCACGCACACACACCCACTACATTCCTCCCCAATCCCTCCCACAACCACACACACACACCCACTACATTCCTCCCCAATCCCCCCCACAACCACACACACACACCCACTACATTCCTCCCCAATCCCCCCACAACCACACACACACACCCACTACATTCCTCCCCAATCCCCCCCACAACCACACACACACACCCACTACATTCCTCCCCGATCCCCCCCACAACCACACACACACACCCACTACATTCCTCCCCAATCCCCCACAACCACGCACACACACCCACTACATTCCTCCCCAATCCCCCCACAACCACACACACACACCCACTACATTCCTCCCCAATCCCCCCAACAACCACACACACACACCCACTACATTCCTCCCCAATCCCCCCACAACCACACACACACACCCACTACATTCCTCCCCAATCCCCTCAACAACCACACACACACAACGCACACCCACCAGTTCTGGACGATGGTGGCGGCTGGGTCCAGGTCTCGGCCAAACACCTTAAAGGGCTCCTCCCTGGGGGCAGGGGGGGAGGAAGGGCAGGTGGCAGGGGGGGGTGAAGTTGAAGAAGAGGGGGAGGCAGAGACATGCACAAGTGGGTCCAAGTCTCCATCAAACGCTTTAAAGGGTTCCTCCCTGCGGGCGGGGGGGGTGGGGAAAGAAGGGCGGGGAAAGAGGGCGGCAGGGGAGAACAGAGGCTCACACAAGTGGGTCCTTGTCTCCACCAAACGCTTTGGAGGGTTCCTCCCTGCGGGCAGAGGGCGGGGATGGGAGAAGGGCGGGGAAAGCAGGTGGCAGGGATGAAGGCTTGCTAGGGATGAAGGCTTGCTAGGGATGAAGGCTTGCTAGGGATGAAAGCTTGCTAGGGATGAAGGCTTGCTAGGGATGAAAGCTTGCTAGGGATGTCCCTAAACAGCCGAAACATGTTTGTCTCCTGTTTTAATCGCTGTTAAGAGAAGAGCTCCAGTTTTTTTCCGAACTCTTGGCTACTTAAGCTCTAAACGTCAACTGTTTTTCCTACTTGTCTAAACTGACTTCTACCACTGCGCTCACTGGGAGAATGTCCAACGATCTGCCATCCCTTTTACTCACCACATAACACTGCTGCCGCCCAGGGCACAGCAGGGCACAGCAGGGCACAGCAGGGCACAGCAGGGCACAGCAGGGCACAGCAGGGCACAGCAGGGCACAGCAGGGCACAGCAGGGGGAAGCGGGGGACAGCAGGGCACAGCAGGGGGAAGCGGGGCACAGCAGGGCACAGCAGGGGGAAGCGGGGGACAGCAGGGCACAGCAGGGGGAAGCGGGGGACAGCAGGGCACAGCAGGGGGAAGCGGGGGACAGCAGGGCACAGCAGGGGGAAGCGGGGCACAGCAGGGCACAGCAGGGCACCACATAACACTGCTGCCGCCCAGGGCACAGCAGGGCACAGCAGGGCACAGCAGGGCACAGCAGGGCACAGCAGGGGGACTCACCAGATGACAGCAGTCTGCCATCCAGCCTCAACTGCCAAGGCCTGCACCCGCTTCACAAAGTAGCCATAGGCACCCTCCGATGTGAGGTTGCGGCGCTGCAGCCTGGAGGGGGGGAGGAGGAGGAGGGGAGGAGGAGGAGGGGAGGAGGAGGGGGGAGGAGGAGGAGGGGAGGAGGAGGAGGGGGGGAGGAGGAGGGGGGGAGGAGGAGGGGAGGAGGAGGGGGGAGGAGGAGGGGGGAGGAGGAGGAGGGGAGGAGGAGGAGGGGAGGAGGAGGGGAGGAGAAGGAGGGGAGGAGGAGGGGGGGAGGAGGAAGGGGGGGGTGTTTGAGAGGACGGTCGAAAGGCAGGTGGGATAGAGACGAGAGGCACGAGGGGCACGAGAGGCACGAGAGGCACGAGAGGTATGAGAGGCACATGGACATGAGAATGCTTGAGGTGTTTGACAGCTCACCATGCCTTTATTGTCGGGGATGACTCCCAGCAGTCTGATGGGGGGAGGGGGGAGGAAGGGCAATGTGGGGTGAGCAACTCGAGCGGACGACAGACAGGGACCAATGCAGAAACAGCAGCACAGATTTGAGACGTCTCAAAACGAGATGACTATCACATGTGGGGTGAGCAGCGCGAGAGGACGACAAACAGGGACCAACGCAGAAACAGCAGCAAGATTGTGGCAGCAAGGAGAGCGCGCGAGCAGCAAGAGCAGAGTCAGGAATGGAAGATATGGAAGATGCACAAGTCATGTCGCAAGTCATGTCGCAAGTCACGTCGCAAGTCATGTCGCAAGTCATGTCGCAAGTCATGTTGCAGACGTAGCAAGAAATGGGATGCGGTGATTGATGCGGACTGGAACTGAGAGCTATCGCTGTGGCTGAGAGCTATCGCTGTGGCTGAGAGCTATCGCTGTGGCTGAGAGCTATCGCTGTGGCTGAGAGCTATCGCTGTGGCTGAGAGCTATCGCTGTGGCTGAGAGCTATCGCTGTGGCTGAGAGCTATCGCTGTGGCTGAGAGCTATCGCTGTGGCTGAGAGCTATCGCTGTGGCTGAGAGCTATCGCTGTGGCTGAGAGCTATCGCTGTGGCTGAGAGCTATCGCTGTGGCTGAGAGCTATCGCTGTGGCTGAGAGCTATCGCTGTGGCTGAGAGCTATCGCTGTGGCTGAGAGCTATCGCTGTGGCTGAGAGCTATCGCTGTAGCTGAGAGCTATCGCTGTGGCTGACAGCTATCGCTGTGGCTGACAGCTATCGCTGTGGCTGAGAGCTATCGCTGTGGCTGAGAGCTATCGCTGTGGCTGAGAGCTATCGCTGTGGCTGAGAGCTATCGCTGTGGCTGAGAGCTATCGCTGTGGCTGAGAGCTATCGCTGTGGCTGAGAGCTATCGCTGTGGCTGAGAGCTATCGCTGTGGCTGAGAGCTATCGCTGTGGCTGAGAGCTATCGCTGTGGCTGAGAGCTATCGCTGTGGCTGAGAGCTATCGCTGTGGCTGAGAGCTATCGCTGTGGCTGAGAGCTATCGCTGTGGCTGAGAGCTATCGCTGTGGCTGAGAGCTATCGCTGTGGCTGAGAGCTATCGCTGTGGCTGAGAGCTATCGCTGTGGCTGAGAGCTATCGCTGTGGCTGAGAGCTATCGCTGTGGCTGAGAGCTATCGCTGTGGCTGAGAGCTATCGCTGTGGCTGAGAGCTATCGCTGTGGCTGAGAGCTATCGCTGTGGCTGAGAGCTATCGCTGTGGCTGAGAGCTATCGCTGTGGCTGAGAGCTATCGCTGTGGCTGAGAGCTATCGCTGTGGCTGAGAGCTATCGCTGTGGCTGAGAGCTATCGCTGTGGCTGAGAGCTATCGCTTTATCGCTGTGGCTGAGAGCTATCGCTGTGGCTGAGAGCTATCGCTGTGGCTGAGAGCTATCGCTGTGGCTGAGAGCTATCGCTGTGGCTGAGAGCTATCGCTGTGGCTGAGAGCTATCGCTGTGGCTGAGAGCTATCGCTGTAGCTGAGAGCTATCGCTGTGGCTGACAGCTATCGCTGTGGCTGACAGCTATCGCTGTGGCTGACAGCTGAGGATGCGTACCAAAGCTGACTTCGTCCCCCCCCAGGTGGATGTGCGTGCTCTTGAAGACAGCTCGCAGGTCTGGAAGGGAGGTGAGGGCACAGGGGGGTGAGGAATGGGGGTGAGGAATGGGGGTGGGGAATGGGGGTGGGGGAACAAGAAGGAAGGGGGAGGGAGGACGGGATAAGGGAACAGAGAAATATGGCTCACGCGAATGAGCAGGGCCGATGTGACTGTGCGTCTTTGAAGGGAAAGGAAGGGAGTGAGAGAAAAAAGTTATTTATCTCGAATGAGAGGTTACCCGCAGGTATGCATGCATTGCAGAACCCACTCCACGTCAGCAATCTCAACGATGTGCAATGAATCAAGACCGTGAGTGGAAATGTGAGACAAACGAGAGTATGGAGATGTGGAAATGCAAGACAAATGAGAATATGGAGATGTGGAAATGACCCCTTCTGTGCTCACGCACCTTGCAGCACCCCCTTGATGAGCTCAAACGTGAAGGGGTTGGAGACATCGAGAGGCTCGGGGCAGTCGGCAGAGGGTAGGAGAGAGGGGTAGCCCACTCCCCTGCGGGGTGGTGGGTTGGTTAAGGGGGGCGATGGAAGGGATTGGGAAGAATGGCAGGGATGGCGTGAGAAGCGAACTACACCATGGGAGAGGCCCTAGAACCAACAATACCAGAGTTCCGGTTCACCTTTATACGAGCTCTCTCCTCCCATGCCACCTTACCACGAGGCAGCGTGTGCTGGGGAGTCGAGCTCTGGCACCACCATCACCCCTCTCTCTTCTGCGTATCTGTCACGGGCAGGCACGCAGGCAGGCACGCAGGCAGGCACGCAGGCAGGCACGCAGGCAGGCACGCAGGCAGGCACGCAGGCAGGCACGCAGGCAGGCACGCAGGCAGGCACGCAGGCACGCAGGCAGGCACGCAGGCAGGCACGCAGGCAGGCAGGCACGCAGGCAGGCAGGCATGGGCATCAACAGAAAGCGAGAGACAAGATCACCCTCTCTCCTCAGGCACCACCATCACACCACCCCTCTCCCTCAGCATATCTGGCAGGGGAGATAAACAGAAGACGAAAGACAGCATTCTAGGAGGTGACTTTTGAGTCGACTCAAAAACCTCAGCGTATCTGGCAGGGGAGATAAACAGAAGACGAAAGACAGCATTGTAGGAGGTTATGGTGTAGAGCAGGCAACGAAAAGAAGAGAGTGGAAGGCTTTTGATTCGACTCAAGAACGAGAGACAGCATGGAGGGAGGTTATGGTATTGAACAGGCAACGGAGGAAGGAGCAGAGCAGGGGGGGAGCAAGAGAGTTAAGCACCAAGGGAGGATGGGGGCGAAGAGCATGGAGGGCCCCTTGAAGAAAAGGGATATAGGGGGTTACTCGACAATGTGGCGCATGTCGTCCGTGGTGTAGCGCTCTAAGGGGGTGAAGGCGCCGAGCCAGAGGCGAGGGAAGGAGGGCGTCTCGATGGGGAAGGACTGCGAGTCCACCATGTGCCAGTGGCTGGTGGGGGGGGGGGGGAAGGGGGGAGAGGGGGGGTGGGTAGAGGGGGAGCGGACAGGGAGGAGTTAGGTAAGTGGAAAGGATGTGTGGGGCATGGGCATAGGCATGGGTCATGGGGCATGGGTCATGGGTCATGGGGCATGTGGCACGCGCCATGTGGCATTCAGTGCAATGAACTCACAGCACGTTGAGCTTGGCATGGGCCATGGAGTCGATGACCCGCTCCATAACCACCACGGGCAAGAAGTGCCGAGCCGTGTCTGACGGGGCAGTGCAACAAGGGGCAGGGGGGGCAGGGGAGGTAAAGGTAGCAAGAGACATCCGATGATCGGTAAAGGGAAACGCTCTCCTCTCCTCGCCACCTCTGGCTGGAAGTCTGGCGAGCCGAGCCAGACGTGGGCTTAGAGCCGAGCCAGGCTTCGAGCCGGCTCGATTTCGGCTCGATTCCGAGGCAAGGCCTGCTAGACATCCGGAAAACAGATCTGTCGATCTTCAGATCTGTCTTCCGACAACCACCACCTGAGGGGTCGACTACACAATTCGCAACCCCCTACTACTAAGGGGCCATTCACGATTTCGCAACCCCTTCTGAGGGGACAGTTGCGAATTTCGCAACCCCCAGAGGGAGTAAGTTTTGAATTCCAAAACCTCCTCAGAGGGATTGATTACGAATTTCGTAGCACCCCACTGAGGGGCCAGTTACGAAATTTGCAACCCCTTCAGGTCATGCAGGAGTTCCGTAACGCCCTACTGAGGGGTCACTTTCGAAATTCGCAACCCAGGGGTCAGCTACTACGAATATAGCATTTCGTTGTCCCCACCAGCAAGGGGTCAATCCCGTAATTGGGAAAAACAGATCTGGCGAATCTCCAGATCTGTTATCCCCTGTTTTGTCATGCCCCCACGCCAACCCCCAGCCCACACGCAACCCTTTACCCTGTCAAGCCAAGCCAAGCCGAGCCGGCTAAATCTTTAAAGCCGGCTCGGCTCTATGCCCATGTCTAGTCTGGCGTGACACGACAGGAAGAACAGGTGGGAAAGCAGAAGTGAAGCAAATGAAGCGAACGGTCATCACTGCTTTTGTGTCAACTCAAGTGCGCACTCATCACTGGCAGCGCTTTTGAGGCGCCTCAAAAGCACTCATCACTGGCAGCAAGTGTCAGGTGGCATTGCAAGACGGTGCGGTGCAGAGGCAGCGAACGCCAGGCAATGGGTGAAGGGACAGAGGGAATGGTCAGAACAGAGCAAACCAGGCAAACCAGCAAGACCAATAGCAAGACCAATAGCAAGACCAATAGCAAGACCAATAGCAAGACCAACAGCAAGACCAACAGCAAGACCAACAGCAAGACCAATAGCAGAACCAATAGCAAGACCAATAGCAAGACCAATAGCAAGACCAATAGCAAGACCAATAGCAAGACCAATAGCAAGACCAATAGCAAGACCAATAGCAAGACCAATAGCAAGACCAATAGCAAGACCAATAGCAAGACCAACAGCAAGACCAACAGCAAGACCAATAGCAAGACCAATAGCAAGACCAATAGCAAGACCAATAGCAAGACCAATAGCAAGACCAATAGCAAGACCAATAGCAAGACCAACAGCAAGACCAATAGCAAGACCAATAGCAAGACCAATAGCAAGACCAATAGCAAGACCAATAGCAAGACCAACAGCAAGACCAATAGCAAGACCAATAGCAAGACCAATAGCAAGAACAGGGATGGAAAGAGATAGCAGCCATCGATGATGCAGTTGGCAGGGGCACAAGTGAAGTGAACAGGGCTTGGTTACCTTCACTTGTGCAGTTGGTAGTTACCATTCTCCAGCACTCCCCACACGGATAAGCAAGTGGTGTGAGCAGGGGTGAATTGACGCACACCTGAATTAACACTACCGGCCTGCGCACTGGTTTGGGTGGACACACATTACTTGCCTATGCGCACAATCTGGTGCACTGCTTGAATGCCGCCCACACATCACTTGCCTATGAGCAGCCCACGGTACTCGAAGCGCGGTGCATCGCGAATGAGGATGGGCGAGCCCTTGGCAGTGACGAGGCGAGAGACGAAGTCAAAGGCGCAGAGCTGGGAGAAGGTCTGGTGGGAGGGAAGGGAGGCGTGGGTGAGGGAGGGGATGGGAGGGTAGGGTGGAGGGAGAAGGTGCGTGAGAATTTGTGCCTCTGCAACGCCGAAAGAAGCAACGAATTCCTGTGGAGCAACGTGATGGGAGGCCGGTTGATGAAAACCAACCCTAGCAACACAGGTGCTTACCTCGAGCGCTCTCAATGCTCCGGTAGTAGTGTTGGCCTGCAGAAAGACACGCATACGGTGCCAGGTGATACAAAAAAGAGGAAGTACTTAGAAGTGGCTGTGCTGTGCTGTGCGTTGTAAGAACGGAAACAAGTCAATAAGAGCAACGGATGATAGCTGATAGCATAGCGCATGGTGCAAGGCACGAGGCAAGCACACAGCGCAGCGCACTGACCCTTATGATGGCATGCGTGATGGCATGGCCGTGCCATGTAGCTCGGGCGTCAGTATCATGTGATGGCGGCGCGTGTGCGATGGACAACTCATAGCTCTCATCCACTCCCATGTGCAGCTGCGCCGAAATGATGATGGCGTGATAGCCATGCCATGTCGTGCCATGATACTCACGCCATGTTTACCATACCATACCATGCCATGCCATGCCATACCACGTCAGATTGCAGAGAGCCATGCCACGGCAGTCACACCATTCCATATCGAGTACAAAACAGAATTACAAAATGAGCACGACGACAGCACAGAGACAGCACACTTGAGATTGTGGTTGAATTCACAGGAAAGAGCATCTGCACATAAGTGCTGCTTCATTCCTCTCTCACCTCTGTCGCTGCCTCTGCCACGTGTATCCTCACTGATTCCACCACCACCACCTCCTCCTCCTCTTCGCCCTTCTCCTCCGCTCGTGCCTCCTGCTCCTCTAACCCCGCCTTCTCTCTCTTAGCTGCCGGCTCCTTCCATCCCACATCCGCTGATATCCTTTCGCTCAGCCCCCTCCTCTCCTCCCCCCTTCTCTCCTCCCCCCTGCTCTCCATCCCGTCATGCATCCGTTCCGCTCGCCTCCTCTCGTAGTCATGGGCGAAGATGATCCCAAGGTACCTCTCAAACGCTCCTTGCAAGATTCCCTCATTCCTTAACCAAACGCGCCTGCTCTCCCCACTCTCCTCAATCTCCCCCTCTCCCTTCACCTCCCCTTTCTCCATGCTCCCCTCTCTCTCCTTAACCTCCCCTCCACCCTCCATTCCGCCTGCTGCCGTTCCGAACCTTGATCCTCCCATGCTCGGCACTTCGCCGAAGCTGATGTCGAGCCTCAGGTTCGGGCTGACTACGACCTCCCCGCTTCCCTGCGTCACTATTTCGGACGGCATCGGCCACAGGCGCAACCCCACGCCTCCCCTTCCCCCTCCCCGCGCGCCATCACCAGGCGCTTTCCGCCCATGGCGTTGCGCCTTCCGGGCGCGCCTCTGCTCCGCGCGGAGCCGGGGGAGCTGCGCAACCCGCTTCCACCACTCCTCCGCACTCTTTCCGCCTCCGCCAGGAGCACTTTCTACAGGTTCTACAGGCTCCGCACTCTTTCCGCTCTCTACATCCGCTTTCTGAAAGCGACCGGAACGAACGGCGAAACTGCTTCCGTACAGATTCGCGTTCGGAGCGAATTCGGACACTAAACTGCGCGGCTCCGCGAGTCCACGTGGCAGTGAACGAGACCCGTCGGACGAGAGCGAACGCGAATGGTACGAAGGCAGGGGAATGATTTCGAGCTCCACTAACAGAAGGAGCAGCAGCGCTGCTGAGGCGACTGCCGCACACGCGGCGTGCCGGCGGACGCGAGACTTTCGGTTAAAATTACCCGCGAGTTCTGTAGCGTGCGCGCGGGACGTGGGGGAGAGTCGGGATGGCGAGGAGGAGAGGAGCGGAATCCCGTGGCCTGACTCCATGGCTGGTGAGGCGCGTCTAGAGTCTAGACTAGACTAGTAATTCATCATTAGGGCTCCGTTATGTGCGATCCTTCCTCAGTTAGTGCGAGCCAGTTTGTACACGAATGATAGTCTACAAGGCAAACACGTCACACAAGAGATCTTACATGCATAAATATGTTGGATCTATCATCTTAGACACAACATTAATCTTGATCCATTAATATTTCACCATCCACACCCTGTAACATCCATAAGTATATTGCAGGCGTCTCACTCCCGATTGGCAGAGAAATTTGAGGTGGCCATTGATGGCAAGGCAACATATGAAAAATGGGCTCAACAGAAATTTATGTGCACAACCTACTACGAAAATAGGCTCATAATAGGGGGGGGGGAGGGGGGGAGGGGGCAGGGCTCATGGTACTTGGGGGGGAAAGGGGACAGGGAGGGAGGGAGGGGCCCAGAGGGCTCAAACACAAAGCACGTTTATGCAGCAGAGCAGGAGTACGCATGCATGGCAGGGGTGGAGTACGGACGGGAGAGTGAGGAAGCTGTGAGGACGGCTGTGAGGACGGCTGTGAGGACGGCTGTGAGGACGGCTGTGAGGACGGCTGTGAGGACGGCTGTGAGGACGGCTGTGAGGACGGCTGTGAGGACGGCAGTGAGGACGGCTATGAGGACGGCTGCAAACATGCATGTGCATACGTAAAATGGGGGGCATTCGCAGTTAGGATGTGAGCTAGAGAGGCAGACAACCGATATAAAGAACAGCTAAGAGTTTGAACCAGTTTCTGAGTCAAGCTGACATTCGTAGAGAGGGCAGTCTCCAGAAAGGAGAAGGCAGTCCTTAGGCACAGAAGTCACTGATGCAGTTAAGTTTGGAAAAGGTTAATGTATGCGAAGAGCTGTCAGACAGACAGGATAGGCGGTGAGCGAAGGACATTCAAGGGGGAGAGGAGAGACTGTTGGAGCAAATTGTCAATCGCTCCAGCTGACATGCGTGACAAACTATTTGAGCAAAAAGGGGCCTACTGTGGCTTGTGCCTGGCTTGGGCTGAAGGCCATTTCTAAGCACAAGGCACTGGAGAGAGAGAAAAAGGCTGGTCTCTCTTTCTCTAAGATGGACTTGGGATTGTCTCTTGGGATTGTCTTGGGCCAAGGCATCAATGGTGCAGGGTGTCCTGAGTATGTGGCGCACAAGGCTCTGATGATTCCGGGGCTGCTGCACAGTGAAGTGTCGTGGGTTAAGACAGGCAGAGCAGGCGCAGGAATGGGAATGTGCATCGGGAAAGGAACTGGGAATGCGGGTGGGAATGGGCGTTCGAGATGAGGATGGGAGGGGGATGAGTAGAGGTGGGCAAAGGGCATGAACCGGGATAAGGTCTTTGTAAGAGCAGAATAGGAGCCGTTTAGGGATCAGGAAACAGCTCGGAAGAAAGGAAGGTGCAAGGCTTGGCGAGAAAACGACCTGGAGACATCAGGCTTGGGGCATCAGGTATGGGGCATCAGGTATGGGGCATCAGGTATGGGACATGAGGTATGAGCCGTGAGGTATGGGCCGTGAGGCATGTGGCATGAGGCATGGGGTATGAGGTTTGGGGCATGAGGTATGTGGCATGGGGCATGGGACATGACACGTAACGCAAGGGGCGGAGGACGCAACGTGTCAACGCGAGGCACTAGGCATATGGTGGAGCCCAGCTGTGTGCACGAACCATGCAATGAGTGAATGTAGCGAACCCACCAGACCAGCAGACCAGCAGACACATCAGAACGCCTCGTGCCTCTCTGCCGAGTGCCTCTCAGCAGCAGCCGTCCCTTTGATCACAAACGCGTGGATGATGGCTTGAGCCACCTGCACCTGGTCTGACGACCCCACCACCTCCACCACCCTCTCATTGTCGCCCTCCCTGCCCTCGTACATGCGCACACGCGCCCCTGATATCTGGTGGGGGAAAGGGGGGGGGAGGGGGGAGGGGGGAGGGGGGATTAGAGGGGGATCGATCGGGGAGGGGAGCCGACTCGCACCTGGTCTCATGACCCCACCACCTCCACCACCCTCTCACTGTCGCCCTCCCTCCCCTCGTACATGCGCACACGCGCCCTGGATATCTGGTGGGAAGCAAACGATGGTAGCGGGTTGTGGCATAAAATAGGGCTCAGATACCCTCACACATGCACACGTGCACGCCTGATCTGCTCCCCTCACCCACTCCCTCCACCCCTCCCCCATCCCCCCCCCCCTCCACAACTGCACCTACATTCCTGGCACCCTCCCTTTCCCATCGTACGCTTTTGATCTGCTGAATGTTGGCTCCGCCTTTGCCGATAACCGCCCCCGCTGCCACAGAAGGCACCGTCACCAGCGCCGTCAGCACGCCTCCCCCCGCCCCTTCGCCTGCCCCTGCCCCCCCACCACCACTGCCATCGCCGTTACCCCCGGCAGCAGCATGAGCAGGAGCGGGCGCCGAGGGGTGTGAGTAGCTGCAACCCAGGAATGCGAGACAGAAGGATGGGGAGGCGAGATCGAGAGGCGAGACGGTGAGGGGACATGGGGAGGGGGAATGGGGAGGGGAATGGAGAGACTAGGAGGGGCGAGGATGGCACTGGCGTCGACAGGTGCCAGAGGGTATAGGCCAGTTTAAGTCAGTATAGGTCAAGGTCAATAGGTCACTGCTGCTGCTGGCGAGATTAGGAGGTAAGTGGGGGTGACACTGGCTTGCGCCAAGAGAGTGTAGGTCAGCAGGGGTCAGCAGGGGTCTACATAATAAGAGCATGTTCTTAGCACTCAGCATGGCATTGGAACGCACTTGCCGTAGTCTTGTGCTGCAGCTGGTGCCACGTCCCAGCCTGAGCCCCTGGATTGGGTGCAACAGGCGGGAGAGAGAAGGGAGGAGAAGGAGCAAAGAGAAAGAAAGAGAATGAAAGAGAAAGGCGCCACATGAGCACAAAAGACTGCAGTGAAGGAGGTGTTACCTGCAGTAAAGGAGGTGTAACCTGCAGTGAAGGGAGGTGTTACCTGCAGTGAAGGGAGGTGTAACCTGCAGTGAAGGGAGGTGTTACCTGCAGTGAAGGGAGGTGTTACCTGAGTGAAGGGAGGTGTTACCTGCATTAAGAGAGGTGTTACCTGGGGGCAGAGTAGCCATCATTGTGAAAGGCGGGTTCCACCTTTGGCTGGGAAGAGGGCTGCACAGTGAGAAAGAAGTAGGAGGGGGGGAGAGAGAAAGGGGCGAATTGAGTGAGGAGCAGCTAGGCTGTGAAGAAGAGGGCTTGAAAACAAAAACAAAATATTCTGACCTAATACGCACCACAATCCACGTCACCCCGTAGGACCAGGCAACAGCACCATCGGGTCCAGCAGCAGAGAGAGTCGCCGCCACTGCTGCTGCTGCTGCTGCTGCTAGTAGGGGGGTGGCCCTCTGTCCCCTGCCTATAACCTGCAGCAGCTTACCTATAACGTCTGTGTGCCGCCGAGCCTAATAGTCACCTCATAGGACCACCCGACGGTGCCATCAGGGCCGGCAGCAGAGAGAGTGGCCACCACCGCAGGGGATGATGATGATGGGGCAGGATAAGAGTGGCCGCCACCACCATATGCATCGCCACGACTGCTGGACGGGGGGTAGCTGTACGCCACACCCCTCGCTGGTTCCACATAGCCACCCCCACCAGCACCACCACTGCCACGCGCACCACCAGCAGTTGCGGCACCAGCGGAAGCAGCACCTTTGGCTGCGACTGCGGTCTCTCTGCCTCTGAGGCGCGCACAGACAAGGCGCAGGGCGTGCGAGACGCAGTGGGGCTCGCCAGACACCTGGGAGGAGGGGGACCGGGGGGGGCTAGTTTTGATTACACTGCTGCTCCCTTCTATCATGGCTAACAACACCTGGGAGGAGGGGGACCGGGGGGGGCTAGTTTTGATTACACTGCTGCTCCCTTCTATCATGGCTAACAACACCTGGGAGGAGGGGGGCCGGGGGGGGCTAGTTTTGATTACACCGCTGCTCCCTTCTATCATGGCTAACAACACCTGGGAGGAGGGGGACCGGGGGGGGGGGAGGGGGGGGGGGGGGGGGGGAGACATGCAGAAACGGTTCGAGCCAACGAAGTGCACCACGAGCAGGGGAAAAGGACTCCGCAGCAGCAGCAGGAGTGTCAGGAACAGCGGCAGCAGGAGTGTCAGGAACAGCGGCAGCAGCACTCACCACGAGCACCTGGTCCTTGGGAGGAAGGCTGGTGAGCGCCCTGCTGCTGCTCACCGCACACATAGTAAACCAACACACACTCACCCCAAACAGTCACTCACCACCAGTCACTCACCACTAGAACCTCGTCCGTGTCATCAGCGCACTTGGGCAGCTGGTCCTTGGGCGGAATGCTGATGCGCGCCCTGCTGGTGCTCCTCAGCTCACTGATGATGCTGCCGCCCTTGCCCATCAAACACCCCACCTGGCGGAAGGGGAGGGATAGGGAATAGCGCATAGGAAGGGAGCCGGGAATAGAGCCAAGGCCCTCAGCTCACTGATGATGCTGCCGCCCTTGCCCATCACATGCTCCTGGTGAAAGATGCATGGGATGGAGGAATGAAAGGGAGGGAGGTGGATGGAGAGGAGACACGGACGTGTGCCATACCATACCACACCAAAGAAGCGGGTTGAGCCCTGCAGGTGCTTCCAAGGCCTGCCATACAATACCAAAGAGGTGCCCCTTTGGTATGGAACGGCGCCTCAAAACGATCATCTCTCTCTCCTCTCATCAATCCACACCCTCGTCCCACATCTGCACTCCTCTCTCTCACCTGTCCCTTCCTAACCAGCAGCAACGCGAAATAATAAAGTGACTGTCCCGCCCGCTGTGCCCTGTTCTCTCTCCCACGGTCCCACCTCTCTCTATCCTTCTCCTTCCTCACCTGCCCCTTCCTAACGAGCAGCTTAGCAGTGACCCCGTTACTGTCACGCGCGCCCTCCTCTGTTCCTCTGTCGCCCCCGTGGGGCTGCGAGATGGCTGCGTGCACGCGGAAGAGCGCCTCCTCAGTGGGCGACACGGGCGAGAAGGGCGCCTGAAGGGTGGGAGCAGATGGAGGGGCGAGGGGGCAGGAGGCACGGCGCGCTGAGAGATGGGGGATGAACACGAGGGGGACAAGACAAAGAAAGAAGGCTGTATGCACGCGGAAGAGCGCCTCCTCTGTGGGAGGCACGGAAAAGAAGCGTGCCTGAGGAGTGGGGGCGTGTGGGGGGAAGCGGGAAGGAGAGGAGAGGAGGATGGCTGCATCCACGGCACCTCCTCTGTGGGAAACACGGGCGAGAAGGGCGCCTGGGGGGGAAGGGTGAGCAAGGGGGGTGGAGGGACACGATAAGGGGAGAGGAAGAGACAGAGCGAGATGGATGCTTCCACGCGGACGAAAGCTTCCTCGGTTGGGGAGACGGGCGAGGAGGGCGCCTGGGGGGGGGGGAACGAACACGGGGGGGGACAAAGAGACTGCCGCTGGCGAACGAGCATGACTGCATGCACGCTAGAAAGATATTCCCACTGCTAGAAAGATATTCCCGCCGCTACAAAGATATTCCCCTGGTGGTGAAACCCAGGAGAAGGGCGCTTGATAGAGACAGGAGGACGGAAGAGCAAAAGGCAAGGAGAGGAGAGCAAGGGGCAGCCCGAGCGGAAAATGACAGATAGTGAATGCAGCAAGCCCAACAACAGTCGGTAAACGCACTAGTCTGTCAGTCGCCTACACAACATTACTTCACACATGCAAGCAATGCTCTGGCAACTCAATAACAAGATGCTGAACTCACCTACACAGCATTACTGACGACAATGCGCTCCTCGCAGTCTGGAACAACCCCGCTCCCTCATTCTCCACCTGATCAAAACTCGATCCGCCCTTCCCAATCACAACCCATTGCAGGACAATCGCAAGCGGTGCTCTTACAACTCAATAGCAAGATGCTGCACTCACTCACCTCCACAGCGTCAATGACGACAATGCGCTCATCGCAGTCAGCAACAGCCTCGTTCACCTTCACTCTCGCCCCTGTCTCCTCCTTTATCTGCCACCAAGACAACCCACATCCCACACACACAGATACCAGAAACGTTCAGCACAAGGAGTGACCCACATATCCCCAGTCATCTCATATCCCTCCTCACCTCATATCCCCGTCATCTCATATCCTCCCTCACCTCATACGTCCCCTCGCCTCAAATCACCCGTCAGTGTGATAGGTAACAATGATGCATGAAGCAGCAAACAACCGCCTCTCGCCTCATGTTGCCAAAACTGACAAAAAATCCATCTTCCCTCCCCATTTGCACTCCCACCTCACCAGCTAAAACCCCTCATTCGTTACAGTCACACCCACCTGCTTGATTCTGGATCCGCCCTTTCCAATCACAACCCCCACTTTATCCCCGGGGCACAGCAGCCTCAGCTCCATCTCTACTCCTGCCCCCTCCGCCCCGCCCCCACCCCTTCCCCCAACCCCAAAGCTCCCCCCACCCATTCCCCCATACGCGTGCACAGCTGCTGCTGCTGCTGGCGCGCCTGCGCCCCACGCTCCCCCGTAAGGGGAAGGGGCGGGCGCGCCAGGCAGGGGAAGCGCGTAGGGGGAGTAGGCCTGGGGGTTTTGCGGGGGAGGGAAGGCCGCAACTGCGCCGCTGCGAGAGGAGTAGGTATCAGCTGCACGGGGGTAACCACCGGACGCCTGGTAACCAGCAGCCGGCTGGTAACCAGATGTGGGGTGCATGGCGAGGAAATTGGGGGGGTCGCGGGGAGGGGAGCGCCTGAGGCGGATGGAAATCAGCTCCAGGGCTTTCTGGACCACAGGGTACTCGCCCGTCACCTGCCACGTGGCAACAAGGGATCGGAGGAAGGTTGAGGCGGACGGACGGAACCCAACGGCCACATTCAGGACAAGTGATCGTGAGGCCGCCACCAAAGCACCTTGAGTTTCAACGACCGACTTAACGAACACCTTGTGACCGACTTAACGAACACCTTGTGAGCGACTTAACGAACACCTTGTGAGCGACTTAACGAACACCCTGACAGACTTAACTCCACCGGTCACTCACCTGCACTAGCTCGTCCGTGGGTAGCGCACACGCCGGCAGTTTGTCCTTGTTGAAAATCCTGATGTTCGCGCCGCTCTCCTGCCGCATGCCCGCAATGATGGATCCGCCCTTCCCCAGAAGACACCCGATCTGACTGCTCGGCACGAGCAGCCTCGCCGGAACACCAGTCGCACCGCTACTAGCACCACCCTCTGCCCCATCCTTGTCGCGAAATTCGCGACTGTCGCCATCGGCGTCGGCGATCCTCGCGTGCACGCGAATCAGGGCTTCCTGTGCGACGGACCAGTCGTCCGGGCGATCCGCGGCTTTGTCGCCGCCGTCGTCGCGTGCGGGGTCGTCGCCGCTGCGATAGTTCTTGTCGCTGCGAGCGGAGACGATTATAACGCGTTCGTCGGTGCCGGGCATTGGGTCAGCCAGCTTAAGGCGAGCTCCCGTGGATTCTCGGATGCTCTGAATGATCGCGCCGTGCTTCCCTAGAAGCGATCCGATTCTCGCCTGGCGGGGTGAGGAAGGTGTATTTTGAGTCGTTAAGGAAGGGATGACTCAAAATACACCGCGGGGTGAGGAAGGGATTGTGAATCGTTAAGCGATGAACAGTGGAGCCAGAATCCATGGTTCAGCGGAATAAGCCGGCAAACGGAGCGGATCCGATGGAAAATAAGGAAAGGTATATAGGAACTTCAGGTATATAGGCAATACTGAAGGCTAGGAACTTCAGGTATATTGGCACTACTGAAGGCTAGGAACTTCAGGTATATAGGCAATACTGAAGGCTAGGAACTTCAGGTATTTAGGCAATACTGAAGGCTAGGAACTTCAGGTATTTAGGCAATACTGAAGGCTAGGAACTTCAAGTGAAAACGCTGATGCCATACCTGGGGGCATAAGATGCGGAAAACGACGTCCGTGTCATTAGATTGCCGCTCGTCCCGCTCTCGCCTCTTCTCGCGGCCGTTGTCATGCTCGTAGTCGCCGGAACGCTTTGACATGCTCGTAGAACGCCGGAACGTAGAACGCCGTAACGTAGAACGCCGTAACGTAGAACGCCGTAACGTAAAACGCCGTAACGTAAAACGCCGTAACGTAGAACGCCGTAACTCGGTAGCTTACAGGTCTATGGAATGGGATATTGCAAGGTGATCTAGGGAATGACGAGGATCTCGGGAATGACGAGAGAGCTGGTCGAGTGGTGTGTGTGGTGGTTTCAGTGACGCGCTCGAGAAGCAAGAGGGACGAAGCACCGAACTTCGGAGTTTGGTTCGGCTTTGATATTCTCGATAAAGTTGAACACCAACTTCACGATGATTTCGTGCCAACAAAATTAGGCGATATGAATCTGTGCTTTTATAAACCGAACTTAGAACGGAACTCGAAACTGCCTCAATGTAGAGCAAATCCTTTCAGCCTTGTATTTTTATTTATCCATCCTCGACCTTCTGATATTCATTAGCTCAGGATCCATGGACAGTCACTTCAGCCAGCCGTCGAGAAAAATAGTCGCCATCATGGCACACGACTGCGACATTCGTGCATGGCGGGTGGGGTTCCACGCCAGCGTAAAAGCCAGGCCATGCAACGACCGGCGAGAAACCGTGGTAGTGTGTGGGATGAATGCCAAGGTCCCTAGTCCTGGCAAGACCACTGCTTGGGTTTCGAGCCCTACATGATGCTCAGTTGGCCTCCTACGACGCATCATGACGCATAGCGCGCCGACGATTCTCCGACTGGCGATGCAGCAGCAGGTTAGGAGCCGGGTGAGATGACGAGCACAATGCGTGGGGAAATCCGTCGTTGGCGAGAGTAACAATGTCGTCGAGCTTCCTTCGTTCATTTCGTCCCCTCCTTGTCGACGACGAGATTCGAGCACACAAGTGACTAGGACCCAGTACGGCTGCCAAGGACCCTACGCATCTTGAATGGATCGCGCAGCGAATTTCGACTAGCCGCGTGCTATCTGCGTTCTTGTCACCCCCCGCCTCAAATCCTCTCGACCTCGGCTCCTCCCTCCGCATCACCACGTCTCCACCCCTTCCCTGCCTCGGGCCTCCTCCTTAGCCCGCTTCTTCTTTTCCGCGTCGCCCATGTGCATCCTGCTGCCGTGCGCCGACCCCGCCACGCCCGGCGTGTGGTGGCGCGACGACGCGCAGTGGCGCCGCTACCCGCTGCACCTCGAGAACGCCATCCGCAATGCTATTTCCAGGGGTCTCCCGTCCCTCGATCTCGGCACCTTCACGTCCGACGTGTACCCTAACGGCGCGCGCTATACCGCGGATCTGCGCGCCATGAGGCAGCGGAACGTGGGGAGCGGATACGCGCGCGACATCAGGGTGATCGGCGGGCCGCCGCCTGCGCCTGCACCGTCCCAGGCCTTGGGGATGCCGAGCCAGCAGGTAATATGCCCAGTCATTAGGTAACGGAAGCCTTTGAGATGCCATTCTCTTGCTAGACGACAAGGACCCTCATCAGTATGTAGTCTCCGCAGCTTCCAAGATTACCAGGCAAACCCGATTTCTGGAGATTTTATTAACTTTCTGTTGAGATCTTTCTCTTCCAATCTTTGAGTAATTTCAGGGCCTTCAGCTGCCCGGGGGAGCACCTTTGCCAACCATCCACTGGCGAGACAACAACAACAATCTCCGCCAGTACGACGCCGCCACGTCCCGCGCCATTTTCCGAGCCGGAGCCCAGGGCTACTCGTTCGCGCAAACCGCCCCCATCGTCACCGCCGCATATCCCATGGGGATAGTGTACACAGTGGACCTGCAGCGCATGGTGCAGCGCAACCCGTTCACGGGCCGAGAGAGGGATATCGTGGTGCAGTTCCCGCACAACCCGTTTGAGTTGCTCAAGCTGGCTCTGGGGGTCACAGGGCAGGACCGCAAGCAGGTGAGGCAAGCAGGGGTCAGGCAGGTGAGGCAAGCAGGTGAGGCAAGCAGGTGAGGCAAGCAGGGGTCAGGCAGGATGAAGCCAGCTATGGTAGGCTGGAAGCATCAGCTTGACTTCGTCTCTGAGTTTCGCTTCGTGTTTTGAAAGCTTTGCTGCTGTACCTACATTTTCCTTCACTCTGCTTAATCTTTGTTGATGCAGCTGCTTGGAGCGACATTGGAGGCGTTTTGCTCGGAGGACAGTGTGATGAGGATGCTGTCAGGCAAGGTGGCGCCCTACCAGATCATCGGGAAGCGGCGCAACCCCAACCTGCAGCCGGGGCAGCCTGTATTTGACAAGTTTGTGGATTCCATGGAGGGGATCGCCACCGGCTGTGCTAATCTGAGCCCCAGTGAGTTTGTCGCCTGAGTATGAGTTGGGGTCTGGACCTGAGTTCCTTGTGTTTCGTGTCGCTTTCTTTTCTGTTTTGAAGCCCTGCGCCTCCATCCTGCTATCTCACCCACCCGTCAGAATTGGGTTCCTGCCTGCCTCATCTTTCCCTTTCCTTCTATTACCCAGGCAATCTCATTGATGGGCAAACCCAAGCGAGTGGCCTGCCTCTCCCCTTGCAGCTCGCATTCCACGGCACCCCGCCTGAAAACATCAACTCCATCTTCAAGGAAGGCATGAGGTCCACCCGCCACTGGTTCGGCTGCACTGCGAGCATCAGCAGGTCGTATGTCACTCCGACTCGCACAGGGCCTGCTGGGCCGGTATGGAAGCTGATTCTGTTTGTGCTGCTCATGGTGCAGACTGTGGTTTCGTCCAAGTCCGACAGCGTGGTGGTGATGACTAGTGCGCATCACGAGCTGCCTGTATATGAGATTACCTTTCAGGGTTAGGAAAGAGGAGTATTTAGTGGCCTCGACATTGACATGGACAGCATAGACTGGCCCTTTCACGGCTCTTTGTGTACAGTAGTATGCGCATTGTACAGCTCTTTTGTTCAGTTGTATGCTGCTAAAGTCATGTCAGCCAAAGAGTATTGCAATTGGTGGAGGTGTTGCAAGGTTGGGTTGGAGCGTGGTGCTATCACTACTGCTCATCACGAGCTGCTGGTAAACCTTAGTACAGGGTTGACGGATGTGTATTGGGTCATGGTCAAAGATGATGCAATGGATGTTGCCTTCATGGACAAAGAGGAGGGGTACAAATGAATTTTAGTTGTACTTCATTCTTCATGTATTTGAATTTGGAACTGTAGTGAATCATCGGAGATTGCTATTGTCGGTGACGGAATCTCGAAGCTGGTCAGGTCGGGTCGGGTCTCCCTGCCAACCAATTTCCTGCTCGTGCCAGCCGTGGTTGCAGCGAGCTGGTTGTCAAGTCGACCAATCAAGGCAATGGTCGACACTCTCGGGGCAATTGCTCCCCGCCCCGTGCAGCCAGCCAGATGGCTTTCACCTTCACAGCCCTCATCAATCGACTGGCAGGACGACTATGAGGCATGTAGCCTATCCTTCCGAGCGAAGTTGGGACGAAGTTCACCAGGCTGTACCGCGTGATTGTCTAGCTGAATAACCCATAAACCGTCTTTAAAATCACTGTACCCCCCACTTTTGTTCGATTCGAACACCCCTGCATTCGAAACCGCAGGCTACACGCCCTCACTTCGCAGTTCGTTACACGGAGTCCTTCCTTTCGACCACCTCGAGTCGTGAGTCGAGAGACCCTTGGGGGAAGTTTCTCCTCGTCAGTTTACTCTCCCTCACGAACCACGAGTTCATCGGAGTGCACTCGGATTTTGGGCTAAGGAGATCCAGTCGTCCCCCGGTCCAGCAGTTTCTGGCACCCATTGCAGCTGGTAACTCTCTCAGTCGAAGTCACACGTTCGCATATTGAGCTAAGTGTGGCTGCATCTCTGGGCTTCTCGAAGTTACCGTACACTGCCGTCGCTTATTGTCGTCTTCGCGTTCGTAATCGTGGCATCATAGATTTGATTTTTTCAAGATGGTCGGCAATAGTTTCGGCGGCCATGATGTTCCGGGAAACGATCTCTCAGTCGCAGCTGCTGCCACGTCTGCTGTAGCCTCCCTCTTCTCCGTCGCCTGTGACGTCGCGCATCGCTTGCAAGCGAACGACTCTCACGCGTGCGACAGACTGAACGACGGTTCCGTGGACCACACCGCTGGATCCTCAGAACTAAACGCCACGCCATACGATTGTAACGCGTCGCCTTATAACGCGAATGTGAATCAATCTCCTATGGAAATCAGTCCGGTAGCGGGATCCGGATACGGAAACGTGTGTCTCCAAATGGGGCTCGGTGTCGGGGGAGCAAGCGCGAACTTCTATCAGCGGGTCGGGTCCGGAGTAGGCCGGCTCGTCGCATCGGCTGTAGCGGCGTCGACTCGCGTAGCCGGCCCGCTCGTAACGTCGCAAATCGCCCACCGCGTCGTCTGGCTACAGCCGGCGAAAGGCTTGCTGCAGCCGGGAGCTGTCGCTCCGACATCAGCAGTCGCCGGCCCAGGCGTTGCTGCGCTGCCAGTTCACGTCTCACGGCTGCCGATCGCCGTGCGACTGTCTGCGATCGGCGGAGTTCTGTCGCTGAGCGCTGCAGCGTTGGGGGCCCTGGGGTGGGCGCGAATGTGTTTGGCGGAGGACGAGCGCGTTGGAGCGCGGGGGGAAGAGCGGGGGGACGCCGGCTTGGGGGAGAATCCGGCGCAATTTGAAGACGCGGGGGAGGATGCGGGGGAGGATGCGGTGGTCGCGGTGGTTTCGCGAGTGGCTTCAGTGGCGGAAGGGCGGAAGCGACCTCGTGAGGCGGAAGATAGCAGGTAATGTGAAGTAACGTGCTGATTCACCGCCATGAGTAGCACAAGCTAGCAGCGTCGAGTCCAATTGAACACCAGATAGGTGCCATTGTGTCAATACGTGGCAGCAACTTGTGTGATGACACCTGTGTAAAATGTAGAGTGCTTGTAAAATGCTTGTAATGTGAAGTAACGTGCTGATTCGCCACCATGAGTAGCACAAGCTGGCAGCGTCGTTAGATGCAGGCTGTTTGGGCCATCTCCCCCTATCGCGTGAGATGCCGGCTGTTTGCGCCATCTCCCCCTATCGCGTGAGATGCCGGCTGTTTGCGCCATCTCCCCGTATCGCGTGAGATGCAGGTTGTTTGCGCCATCTCCCCGTATCGCGTGAGATGCAGGCTGTTTGCGCCATCTCCCCGTATCGCGTGAGATGCAGGTTGTTTGTGCCATCCCCCTTAACACAACTCGCGCGTTCCCGCATCCTCCTCCCTCTCCCCTTCCCACGTTTGCACCCAGACCTCTCAGAAACGTTCCACCGTCTGCCTGCAGCAAGAAGGACCTCTCTGTCGGACAGTCTCTCCCATGCATGCCTGGCAGGGGAGGCTTCCGAAGCATTTCGTTCCCCGTGGCACCTTCCTCTCCCTTCCTTTCCCCTGGGTGCGCGCACCTCTCGTAGGTGATTTTTGAGTCGACTCAAAAAGCACCTTGGTGCGCGCACCTCTGTGTCCTATAGCGTGCCGCGTATCTAGGCGCCTCAAGGGTCGAGTGCATGCATGCATGAATGGCCAAGGCTAGCGAGGGCGCGGAGTGGGGCATAGCGGTGGAGTGGAACCTAAGTCTCAGTCTCAGCACCCCTATTGCACCCTCTCCCCTCCCCTCCTCCTCTCCTTCCCTTCCCTCCTCCCCCCCTTCCCTCCTTCCCCCCTTCCCTCCTTCCTCTCCCCTATCCGGCAGCCTATCGCAAGTATGCCTGGCGTTGTCGCCCGAGGCAGCGATGAGAGGGATGGCGCTGGAACCCAGGTGACTTTTGAGTCGACTCAAAAGTCAGCGATGAGAGGGATGGCGCTGGAACCCAAGACGGACGAAGCGCTCTCATTCCCTCCTCTTCCCTCACCTCCTTTCCTCCCCCCCCCCGTCTCCCCTCGTCTCCCTTCCTCTCTCCCCTTCCCTCATCCCCTTCTCCCCTCCCCTGTCCGCCAGCCTATCGCACGCGCTTCTGGCGGCCGTGGAACTTTAGGGGGCGCAGAGAGGCATGGTGGTGGAACCCGAGACGAAGCACTCTCACTCTCCCCTCTTCCCTCCATCCTTTCTCCCCTGTCCAGCAGCCTGTCGCATGCATGCTTAATGTTGGCGCCCGAGGGAGCGAAGCGCGGCATGCTGGTGGAACCGAAGACAAAGCATTCCTTTCCGGTCATGCTCAGACAAGACGGGCACGGCGCAGGGGTGAGCTTCTCACCCCCCCTAGGTCTCACCCCCCTAGGTCTCACCCCCCTAGGTCTCACCCCGCTGAGTCTCACCCCCCAAGATTTCATCCCCCTAGGTCTCACCCCCCTAAGTATCACCCCCCAAGGTCGCATCCCCCTAGGTCTCACCCCACTAGGTCTCACCCGTTTAGGTCTCGCCCCCCTAGGTCTCACCCCCCTAGGTCTCACCCCCTACGTCTCACGCATCTAGGTCTCTTCCCTGGGGGCATGCTCGGTTATTCCTGGACACACTGTGATCGCGAGGATCAGGACACTCGGGCTGTCCGAACGTGCAGAGGCCGCTGAGAGCAACCAGGAGCGCTCATTCTGCTCCGTGTTTCCCCCCCCCCTCCCCTTCCGCCCTGCCCAGCTGCTGGCAGGAGTGGGCATCAGAGACACTGTCATTGCAAGGATCAAGTCCATCAAGATCTACGCCTTTGGAGTCTGTAAGCTTCTCATGCGCCTCAAGATCGGATTCTGCAAGCCCTTTGAGCTAGGAGGAGATGTGCTCTGGGAGGGACCCTGTGAGGTAAATCTAGGTGTATTTTGAGTCGACTCAAAATACACCTCTGCAAGCCCTTAGAGCTAGGAGGAGACGTGTTGTGGGAGGGACCCTGTGAGGGAAATCTAGATTGTGTGGCCTGGAAGGGAATCAGTCCCGTTTCGTTCTGAGAGCTCACTGTCTTCTCCTCTTCTCTTACTCCCTACCTACGCTTTACTATTTTTAGTCTCGTTTCATCTCTTGCCAGATATGATAACCCCCTCCAGCAGTCCCTTCATCCCCCTCCACCTCGAACAATCTACCTACCTCCCTGAAAATAAAATCTCCTCCCCCACCCAACCCCTCCCTCCCTGAGAATAAAATCTCCTCCCCCACCCAACCCTTTCCTCCCTGAGAATAAAATCTTCTCCCCCACCCAACCCCTCCCTCCCTGAGAATAAAATCTCCTCCCCCACCCAACCCCTCCCTCCCCCCCACACGCAGACGTGAGTCCGTCGAGCCTGGGGGGGGACGGGCATCTCAAGGCCAAGTATGGCGCCATGCCTCTGGACGAGCTGAGAGTCAGCCAGGAGTTTTACAACGACCTGCTCAGGTGAAAACAACAGAGGTGAATCGAATCGACTCGATTGTGCTGTGGTGAAAGTGACTCGTGCTGTTCTGAACACTATCTGTCAGGCAGACCGTCTTTGTTCTGTTTTGTTGCAACAGATGGCTGGTGCAGGATGGTCTATTGCAACAATACAGAACAGGACCAGTTTCTCTTGTTTTCTCCTCGCTTTCCCACAGTTAGGGGATCCGCGTTCCTCTTAAGTTCGCAGCACCCACCCCCTCCTCCGTGAATCTTGCCCAACGCACCCTCCTCTCGCCCCTGCGCTGCCCTCATCACCCGTTCCTTGTCCTCAGCATCATCCGTTCCTTCCTTGTCCTTGGCATCACCCGTTCCTTGTCCTCGGCAGCCGCGAGATCCCCATGACGGTGCGCCTGGTGCTGCACTACAGGGGGCTCAACATGAAGATGGTCAGGAAGTGAGTGCTTCGAGGGTCAGTGCGAGTCAATGCAAGGCAACGCAAGTCAACCAGTGGCATAATGGTGCAGCGGTTATTACTGGCTCAGCAATACCAAGATGGCCAGAAAGTTAGTCCGTGGAGGGTCAACAACAGCCTGTAGAAGTCCTCTTCATTGCCTTTCCTTCCTGCTCCCCCTCCTCCCTCTGCTCTCTGTCCTTCCTCTGTATGCCCTTCCTGGCTGTCTTCCAGTGCTCCTTTCACACCCTACCACTGCTGACTTCTCTTCTCTGCATTCTCTTCAACTGCCGCTCGTCTCCCTTGCGTCTCTCTGCTCCCTGCTGCCAGTGCTCTCAACACGTCTCTCTCCAATCGCCTCACTAAGGTTTGTCCTTCGCGTATCAGGGCTCTTTTGTCTTTGCTCCCACCATTGCACTTGTTCGTGCACATGCTGGTGTTCAGCTGCGCATTATAAGAGAGTCTGCGGTGTACCGCATTGCCAGGTTCTCTACAACAAATCTGTTGTGGTATCTCTACATAGCACTTCGCATGCGTTCTAGTTTTTTTTCACTATTTCTTGCGCGTCCATCACCTTATTCTTTCAGCTTGCTTTAGCTTTCGGTTTTTTTACTATCACTTTACTTCTTAACCCTCCCCCCTTTACCGAATCACAGTTCACCGCTTGTCTGCTCAGTTTCTCCTCTAACGAGCCTGTAAGTCTTCTCATCTGTTACATTATGCCTTCGTCCTGTTCCTGCCCCCTCCCTCACAGCTATTGGGGCATGCAGACGATCCGGGCTTTCACACCCTCAACGAGTATCTGTCGCAGCCTCACAGCGTCAAAAGGGTGAGTGCCCTGTGCTCTGCGCTTTGCGCTCTGTGCTCTGTGCTCTGTGCTCTGTGCCCTGTGCTCTGCGCTTTGCCCTCTGTGCTCTGCGCTTTGTGCTCTGTGCTCTGTGCTCTGTGCTCTGTGCTCTGTGCCCTGTGCTCTGCGCTTTGCGCTCTGTGCTCTGCGCTCTGTGCCCCGTGCTCCGCGCTTTGCGCTCTGTGCTCTGCGCTTTGCGCTCTGTGCTCTGCGCTTTACGCTCTGTGCTCTGTGCTCTGCGCTCTGTGCCCTGTGCTCTGCGCTTTGCGCTCTGTGCTCTGCGCTTTGCGCTCTGTGCTCTGCGCTTTGCGCTCTGTGCTCTGCCCTTTGCGCTCTGTGCTCTGCGCTTTACGCTCTGTGCTCTGTGCTCTGCGCTCTGTGCCCTGTGCTCTGTGCTTTGCGCTCTGTGCTCTGCGCTTTGCGCTCTGTGCTCTGCGCTTTACGCTCTGTGCTCTGTGCTCTGCGCTCTGTGCCCTGTGCTCTGCGCTTTGCGCTCTGTGCTCTGCGCTTTGCGCTCTGTGCTCTGCGCTTTGCGCTCTGTGCTCTGCGCTTTGCGCTCTGTGCTCTGCGCTCTGTGCTCTGCGCTCTGTGCTCTGTGCTCTGCCCTCTGTGCCCTGTGCTCTGCGCTTTGCTCTCTGTGCTCTGTGCTATGTGCTATGTGCTCTGCGCTCTGTGCTCGGTGCTCTGTGCTATGTGGTCTGTGCTCTGTTTTGCGTGCTGAGTGTTGTGTGAGTTGTGTGCTCTTTGATCCCTGCTCCCTGCTCTCTCTCCCTCCCATGTCATGCCTTCCGTTCTCTGGGCCTTTCGTCTGTTCTTCTTCGCCCGCCATCGCATGCAAATATCCATGGATCTTGTATCGCATATTCTACAACCGCGCCCATAGAGGGGATAGGGATAGCAGGGATAGGGATGCAGGGGATAGGGATAGGGTGTGAGGGAATTGAGTTAGAGGGGGTTAGGGGTGCGGGGATAGGGATGGGATAGGAGTAGAGGGGAGTGGGATAGAGGAGATGTGGCAAGAGAGGATAAGGATAGAAGGGATAGGTATACATGGGATAGGTATACATGGGATAGGTATACATGGGATAGGTATACATGGGATAGGTATACATGGGATAGGTATACATGGGATAGGTATAGAGGGGACAGGGATAGAGGAGAGGGGATAGGGATGCAGGGGATATGGGTAGTGGGAACAGGGATAGAGGAGATGAGGTTGTGGGGATAGGGATAGAGGGGATAGGGATAGAGGGGATAGGGGTAGAGGGGATAGGGGTAGAGGGGATAGGGATAGAGGGGATAGGGATAGAGGGGATAGGGATAGAGGGGATAGGGATAGAGGGGATAGGGGTAGAGGGGATAGGGATAGAGGGGATAGGGGTAGAGGGGATAGGGGTAGAGGGGATAGGGATAGAGGGGATAGGGGTAGAGGTACGACCACTGACTTCACCTGGCTCCTGGACGACTCACAGTCCCCCTTTGAAAAAACCCCTTCGCTGCCCACCCTGCCCCCACTCACCCATCAGGGCACCACCATTGACTTCACCTGGCAGCCGGGAGGCCGACTCCTCACCGAGAGTGAGTGCCCTGTTACACACAGTCATCACTGCATGAGCCCACTTCCGCTTTACACACAGTCATCCTGAGTGCGCCCCCCTTTACAATGCTCGTGAAGCCGGCAGTCTAGCTGCTGCATATCTCATGCCGCATGTCGTTCCCCTTGTCCCCTCTCTTCCTCATCCCTGTCTACCTCTCACGTTGGCCTCTCTCCTCCCTGTCTCTCGCCCCTCCCTCTCTCCCTCTCCCCCCTCGCCCCTCCCTCTCTTCTCCCTCTCTCCTCTCTCTCCCTTCTCCAGTTGACGGCCGGCGCATGGACCCCATTGTCAGCGCTCCCCTTTGCCGTAAGTTGCTACCACTCTCTCCAATGCTCGTATCGGCTCCTGTGTCCAGCCTTTCGAATCTGCTCGACTTGCCTTCTTCTCTTCCTCATCTCTTTGAATTAATGCCATGGAGCACGAAAGGCTCATGCACATGCTGTGCAGGTGTCAAAATAAGCCCTGGAATTACCTTCAATGGTGCTTTTACAGTCCTCCATAAGCATTTATCCATGTACAGTCATTGCCAACTTCGTTTAGCTTCTTCCATGAGATCCTGCCTCCCTTCCCTGCCTCTTTTCCCAATCTGTCCCAATCTGTCCCAACCTGTCCCAACCGTCCCAACCGTCCCAACGTACCCTAGGAGCATTCTTCGATTTATACATTGGCAACCCACCTGTATGTGAGAAGGCGAAACAGAGGATTGGTGAGGGCATTGGACGGATGATTGCAGCGTGCTAATATGGCTCCATCATGTTGGGCTGACAAAAGCCCTAGGATCTTTTCAGAATGCGAAGTCCTTGTAACAGAGTGCTTGATAGCACAGCGGAAGTCTTGAGTTGAACCCTTGTACTGGTATATGAGAACAAGTGATAGATTATAGCAAAGGGATACAAGGTTTACATGATAATACAAGAGAATATGAAGAGTCTAATTGTTATGCACTTCGAGGGGTACATTCCCTTTTATGACTCGATAATGCAATTCGGGTAACCACCCGTGCTGTAATACGGTATCGGGACAGCTATTTGTGTTAAACTAAGGCCCGGGAGGGGCAACCAGCTCTGATACCATGTTAAACTAAGGTAGGTAGCTAGGGAAGAGAAGCCATGAATGGCGAGAGGTTTTAGGGTAGGAAAAATATCGAGAGAGAAGAGTGTCTTGAGAAGGAAGAGAGAGGGATACAAGGAGGGGGGTTGTACCCTCTACAGTAGGTTTCAGTAATATATACCAAGCTTATAATTATATATAACCTATATAATTTAACAATTTGTCCTTGCTGTCGCGCTGACTCTTGACTCTTGCGATTCTGACTGTTGAGTTGCACGGTCAACGGTCTGCGATCGTTGCCCTTTCGTAACCTCTGTTAGGTGTCGTCAGCGAATGTGAATCGTCAGGGGTTACTGTAGCGGTGTTGACTCGGTAATCCTCGCTGTTGTATTCTTCGCGTATTTTGTATACTCACACGAGACTCCGGACCGGAAATGCCTTAAGTCATTTTATCATTTCCAACACTCTCCTTCATTTCTGGTGTGTCGATGTGGTTGAGATCGCTGACGTGTTGCAGTCCAGTCAGCAGCATGCAGTACTGGAACTTGGCTTTCATTAGCTTCTTAGTCAAGTAGTCGGCTGTCATTTCAGTAGTGGGGCAGAATACCAATTGGAGGCGACCCTGCTCGATCTCGTAACGAAGCGAGATATGCTTTGTCCTATTCGCGAATCCATTTTTGTTGGCGATTCTGATTGCCGATTGGTTGTCGCAGAAGAGAGAAGCTCGGTAACTCGGCAATCTTCGCCTCTTCGAGCAGCTCGCGCAGGTGCAGTCCTTCTTTTGTAGCCGTACAGAGGGCGATATATTCAGCTTCAGCATATGAGAGGGCGATTAATTCCAGCTTTCCCGAGCGCCAGGAGATAGTTCCGATAGGTTGCAGGGGGTAGATGTAGCCGTTGCGTGAACAGCGGTTGTCCTTATCGCCGGCGTGATCGGCGTCGATGTAGCCAATGAGTTCGGTTTTAGTAGCGGCGTTCTTGTGGTAGGTTAGTCCGATCGTCGGGGTCGAGACGAAGTAGTGGAGCGCGCGGTCGAGTTCCGCCAGATTCCCCCCTTCAGGTCGCTTAAGGTAGGTAGCGAGCTGGCTAGCAGCGTAGGAGAGGTCAGGACGACAAGTGACGACGGCGAATAGCACATAGCCGAGCTTCTGCTGGTACTCCTGAATCCCGGCCGGTGTGAGTAGTGAGGCGGTCGACGCGGGTGCTGGCAACGCGTAGGTCTACGGAGTAGTGAGAGATAGCGGGGACAGATCGAATCGGCGAGCGATGGTGTCGGCGTACTTCGGAGCCGAGAGATGGATGGTATCGGGGCGATCGGTGACGTTGAGGCTGAGTTACTGCATTACAGTCCGCGAAACCGTGATCGTGAGCTGGAGTTCCAACTCGCCCTCGAACCAGATGGTGATCGAGGTTGTGGAGCCGACGTAGAGGAGGTCATCTACGTACACGATCAGCAGGACAAAGTCGCCACTGTGGGACAGACGGTACATGCCCTGGTCGTGCGGTAGCTGGGCGAAGCCCAAGTCGGTTATGATGCGGTGCAGGTACTGCGGACATAGGTGCGGGGCCTGCTTGATCCCGTAGAGGGATTTGGGCAGTTGGCAGACCATCGTTGGGTCGTCGACGTTGGCGTGGGGCTGCTCAAACGAAGATGTCGGCATCGACCGGGGCGTAGAGGAAGGCGGTGGCAATGTCGATTTGGCGCAGGGGAAGGCGACGAGCGACCGCGTCGAGGAGGATTCAAAGGGAAGTGTGGCAGCTGACGGGAGCGAACGTCTCCGTGTAGTCGATGCCGTACTGCTGTTCAAATTTGCGAACGACCCATCGTGCTTTGAAGCGATCGATGGTCCCATCTCCCTTGGTCTTTACTCGGAAGACCCATTTTCTCGACGGGATTGTTTTTCCCTTGGTTTGGGAGATTGGGATCAGCTTCCAGGTGTTGCGTTTGTGTAGCGTCGTTAATTCCCTGTCCATTGCCTCCCTCCATTTTTTCCTGTGTGGCCCTTGCAGCGCTCGCTTGACAGTCTTTGGCTCCTCGACTGGCGGCGATGACGGAGGATGCACCGCTGCTACCAGTCCAAGGATTTGAAGTCCAGTCTCGGTGTAGCGAGGGAGGGTTGGATCCTCGGGATAAGCTGCTTCATCGCCTGCTTCAAGATTAGGTACAAAACTTGGTCCTACGCATTCTGAGACATGTGTGTCGACGCTGTGGGGTATTACGTAACCAGTGTTAGCGAAGTGGTAGTAGGCTTCGGCATTCGCACTTTCGCGAGGGTTATCGTCGTCCATTTGCATGTCAACGGAGCAGTAGGGAAGGGGTCCTATAGCTGCCGACGCGTCAAGGACGTTCTGCTCCTCCAGGTCAGCTTCTTCTTTGGTCGAGGCGAATACGCGTGCTTCAGCGAAGCCACCGGATGGGTCCCGATTGGCTGCGATGTTCTCCAGGTAATGGTTGAGCGTGAGGTTTTCGTAGAAAATCACGTCACGTGCCGGAACTGTTTCCTTATCCTCGATGTCGAAAATTTTCCAAGCCTTGTAGTGTTGTTCCACACCGAGGTGTAGACCCCATCTTGCCCTCTGCGAAAATCGTCCAGCTCTTACAGTGTGTGGACGGTACTGGACCATGCACCCGAACACTCGTAACAATTTGTGCTTCCCTGCTTCCCTGTCCACAGCAGATGAAGTGATGCGTTGTTTGGCAGGGAGCTTGACGACAAAAGATTCTGTAGCATGACGACGTGATTCATCACCTCCGACCACAGCGAGTTGGGCAGGCGCATCCCGATCAGTAACTTCCTCATGGTGTTCTGGAGGGTCTGATTCATCCTCTCTGATTCGCCATTTTGTTGGTGAGCGTAAGGGAGGGTGACGAGCCTCTTGATTCCCCATTCTTCGAGGTAATCCTTGACTCATTGTGACTGATACTCTATCGCTCCATCGGACTGAAAGCTTTTTAGCTTCGTGTCTCTTCTCGTTCTACTGCAGCAAGCCATGCGACGAAGGCAGAGAAGGCGAGGTCGCGTGACGGTAGGTTAAGATGCCAAGTGTATCTTGTCGCGGCATCGACGAAGGTGATTACGTAGTTGAGGCCAGCCCAGCCGACTTCTCGCAGGATGTAGAGTATATCGTTGTAAACTTTCTCGAGTGGAGAATACCCTGGTGCGCTGGGGTTGTGATGTGACGGGAACGATTGATGTTGAAGATCACCTTCCGGGCAGATAAAACAGGTACGTCGCGGCCGTCGAAGTTCACGGCCATCGAGTAGTAGGAGCGTGTCTTTGTCCAAGACATTAGCACAAATTGTGTCGAATAACCTTATTTCAAGGATGCGACCGTTGATGCCAAGTTTCTTCGCTTGCCTTGTATCCCACAGATTGACGATACAGGTCCGAGTTGGCGTAGAAGGCGGAGACGGTCGCGGCGCTCTGATGCTGCCCGCGTGGATGCGCCTTCAGCTGCTCGGCGTCTGTCGGTCGTGGCTCTTCAACGGGTTCCGGTTCAGGCGGAGCTTGTTCGACGGGTGGTGCCGACGAAGGTCCCGCGATGGGTGTTCCAGGAAGTTGGCTTGTCGGCGCTTGCGGTTCTGCTTCTCGTTCCTCCGTTTCTCGTTCCTTTACTTTTTGTTCCTCTGCTTCTTGTATCACTGCTACTGCTCAGGTGCTTTCTGCTTCAAGTATGGTGTTGGAGTACCAGAAGCGGTCGAACCCCGGGGTCAAGATCCGGCGGGTGCGTCCAGGGTGCGAAGGAGACGACGTCGTCGCTGTCGGCCGTCCCGCGGTCCGGAAGGAAGCCCAAGACGAAGACTCCGTGCTCTGCCGATGAAGATGCCGCCCTTCCCATGGTAGATTCAGGACTCTCGGTTGAAGTTGTCGCACTCCAAGTGAATTCCCTTTAACATCAGCTGGCTGACACTTAAGAGGTTGTAGCCGAGGTTGTCGACGACGAATACTCGTGACATTTGTAGCATCACGTTCGTCTTGCTTGATTGTAATTTAACAACTCCCTCCTTTCTTGTGCGTAGGTTCTGGCTGTTGGCGACAGTGATGACGACTTTACGGTTCAACGTCTTCTCTTGCTGGACGAAGCTCGTTGAAGAATACATGTGTTGGCCATAGCAGCTATCAAGAAACCATGTATCGCAGCCAGACGGTTCGTTGCGAGCGATTGCAGCATAAGTCACATTCGGTTGGAGTCGGGTTTGTGTCGGAGGGGGGGGATTGTTTGTCGAGACCGCTGTGTGGTGGAGAGTCGGGTACGCAAAAGTCCGTTTGAGCCATACAACTAACGATGTTCCTTGCGTCTTGTGCAGAGTGGTTCTTCGGAGCTGATGGGTGCTGCTGAGTTGAAGCGTCCGGATTCGGTAAGGGACGTAGCACTCGGGGTTGATACCATGAGAGCTACGGCTGCTGCTGTTCCTGCTGCTGCAAGTGCCTCGGACAATTGGAGCGCGAATATCCCGTCGTGCGGCATCGATGACAATACGGAGGTGAGTGTTGTTTCTGATGGTTGTGGTTGTGGTTGTTGTTGCGTCTGTGCGTGTAGAATGCTAGTTGCTAACTCGGTTTCTTCGCATGTCTTTCTTCGTACAGGTCCATGTCTTGCTGCTCGGCGTGGAGCTCCGCGCACAGGTGCACCTCGGAGATTCAGCCGTGAGCGCGTAGAAGGGAGCGCATTGTGCGCTACTGTGAACCGATGCCGGTGAGGACGATCGTGACGAACGAGTCTTCCGATAAGTGCCCTCCGCTTCGTGATACTTTGTCGCGCAAGCCACTGCAACGATTAATATAAGGCATTGCTTCTCTCCTAGTTGCATCTATGTCACGCTGTTGGTTGCTTGATATACGCACTTCAAATGGCAGTGTGCCAGTTCTGCCGAGTTGCCGAAGTCGCGATACTGTATGTCCGGATGCTCTGTTGCTGTCAGGTTGCGCAGGAGGATGGTGAAAGCCATCAGCGACTGATAAGCATAGACTTTCTTTTCCAGAGTAGTCCCATTTGCAAGAAAGGCCCAGGAGCCGGTGAAGAAGTCGAAGATCTATGCGCCGTTCATCAGCAACTCGAAATCGAAGCTCCAGGCGAAGAAGTCCTTCCTGTTGAAAGGTGAGAACGTCTGCAATTTTAGGATGTTGTTAAACTGCTGTTGCATGTTGACAATGTCTGACTGCTTATCGGTTGTCGTTGAGTCCACTGCCAGTGCAGGAGTCGGCAGGAAGGTGAATGAGCCTGGTGAGGTAGTTGTAATGTCGAGTTTGTCATTGAAGTTGTTGTAACTCCAGACTGAGGCAGTTGTAATGTCGAGTTTATAATTGAAGTTGTTGTAGACGATTCTTCAAACGGGTTAGATACTTATTGAGGGAGTTTGTAACAGGAGTGTAGCTTCTGACAGGCTCTCATACCATATTGGGCTGATAGTAGCCATAGGATATTTTCAGAATGCTAAGTCATTGTAATAAAGTGCTTGATAGCATAGCGGAAGTCTTGAGTTGAACCCTTGTACTGGTATATGAGAACAAGTTATTGATTATACCAAAGTGATACAAGGCTTATATAGTAATACAAGAGGATATGGAGAGTGAATTAGTTAGTGCACTTCGAGGGGTGCATTCCCCTTTACGACTTGATAAGGCGACTCGTGTAACCACCCGTACTGTAATATCATGACGGTTATTTGTCCTTGCTGTCGCGCTGACTCTTGACGCTTGCCATTCATACTGTTGAGTTGCACGGTCAACGTTTTGCGATCGTTGCCCTCTCGTAACCTCTGTGAGGTGTCGTCAACCTGTGTGAATCGTCAGGGCTATTGTAGCGGTATTGACTCGGTAATCCTCGCTGTTGTAGCCTTCGCGCATTTCGTATACTCACGCGAGACTCCGGAAATGCCTTAAGTCCTTTTATCATTTCCAACACATCACTTGGCCACAAACATGGGGCCCATGTGTGGCAGCTTGAAGAAAGAATAGTAGGTGTCATGTGTGCCTGCTGTGGAACTTCCCTACCTCAGCCTAGAACGGGAGGGGAATGTAAAAAAAAGAAGCTCTATGCACGCTTCAACAAACTACCAAAACCTTCGTTGGATGTGATCTGTGTAAAAAATGGACTAAATAATGTGTAGGAATTGCAGCATTGTTGACGTTGAATTTTGTAAGGTGATGATATTTTGTTCGTGTTTTATACAGAACATACATCTGTACAGCTCGTCAAATCTCAGGTCCTGGCTCAAAATCTATTTTTTTGTCCACATTTGCCATTTCGAAAGGGACCATCTGTAGTGCAGCAGCGCAGAGCTGCCTGTGGTGTGATGTCGCCTGATGCGTGCGCCTCGTGAGTGGGGGCCAGAGTTGTCAATAGTTGCCAGCAAGGCGTTGTTTGTTTGTTGTTTCGTCGTGGCAATATTTGTCTCTTGGTGTTCTGTACTCATTGTTGCTATTGGCTGAGTGAGACACCTTGGCCGTGATACAACCGATGTCCGCAAAGTGCCTTGCCCAAAACAAATCCCAATTGCACCCCCTCGCTCAATAGCAGAAGTTTACGGGCAGTATCCGTTTCGAGAGAGTCCCCCGCGCCGGCTACTGTGCTGAGTCATCATGACAGCGGGGATGAACATGCGGACAGCGACGAAGCAGTTGCAGCCTTCTGGTTTTCGCCACATATTTTCGGACGGCGTCGCGACAGTTATCGTTGCAAGTCGAACCTTCAAAACGTATTATGTAAGAAATCTTTAGAACACGCACCTAACATTTGGAACTGAAATGTGTCTCCAAACCCCTCGCCACATTTCACAGAGTATAAAAGGGAGCAAACCAAACCATAGAAACTCACTCAATATCTCATCCGCCAACTTCCACTCTGGTGCTATACCGGAGAAACTCACTCTCGCTTGAAAGTGCCGAAACTTAACACAAGGTAACTGGGTGAACAATGGCTTGCCAAAATATTCTACTCAAACCTTTACCATTTTTTTTTAAAATGGTAACCTTTGTTCCCGTGCGAAAGGCCCACAATCCCGTGACGATGCCATGTTAAAACCCTGCGCGTTTTTGTTTACCGGAACCCTGAAAATTTGCGCTCTTCTGTCAGGCTCAAGGTGTATCCCTGGTCCGCGCCAGCCGCTGCATTGAAACTTTGAGTAAATTCCGTGGCATCACTCTGCCCCAGCACTGACCCGGGACGGGGGCACTCTGTCCCTGCCCACGCTTTGACCCCCACCCCATGAATTCCCATAGGGCGCTTCGGCGCGCTATGCTGGACTGTACTGTACTGAACAAAAAATTCGCGATTTCCCACGACATTTCCCCCACCCACCGCTTTGTCTGGTCTGGACTGGATCTGGTTGGGCTGGAATGGGAAGGGAATTGCCTATGTTTGACGGGTAATTATCCGGATTTGGATACTTGGACGGGTAGTTTCTGGACGGAGCTCCCTTTTGATGGAATCCGAATCCGGTCGTTTTAGGACGGAGCTCCCTTTTGGTTTTCACCGAATCCCGGTGGTTAACGGGTCGAGTTCGGCTCGAAAACGGGGTGTAAGCCTAGGTTTTGGCGGATTTTGGCCGGAAAACGGGCGGTGACAAATTTGGTGATCACCCGAAAACAGTCTTCAACGGGTGGCTTTGCTAGGGAACCCGGAACTGACGACTGGCTTAAAAAACCAATCTGAAGCCCTGATCAAGCCCCAGGCAGTCGAGCAGCCGGTCCAATTCCAATTGTCAAACAGCATTGATTCGAATTCGTCCTTGCGCTTCCGTGTTTCCAGCCTGTCACGCGGTTGTCGCTGGGATGCACCCAAAAGCACGGTCCCTCCCTTCAGCAACAAAACCGCCAACGAAACGGCCTGTAACGAAAAATCAAAGCTCTCTCAGCGGCATTCTGTACCTCCCCCCATCGCTGATCTAAACGAACGCCTTCCCCGTTGTTCCCTCCCCTTGAGAAGCAAACAGCAAAAGCATCAGTGCTTCTAAAGCGACTCCATTTAGTCATGAGCTCAATCGGCGCCATGGCTGTGCGCCGCTTTTCCAGCAAGCCGCGCGTAAGCGTGACGGATTCCGACGAGCGAGAGTCCGTCATCATCATGCTTCCCGACGGCTCCATACGCCTCTTTGACAAATCGCCAGACGCGCTCGAGCAACTCACAGCCCAGACCGTTCTCTCCGAGTACCCCAACATGAATCTCTCATCGCTCGAAGCTCTCGTCGCTCCGAACGCGTCGCTCGCGCCAGGCGAGACGTATTTCCTGACGCCGAAGCGCGCGCTGTCAGCCACTCGACCACCATTGACCCCGCCTTCGAGGGACGGTTCCCACGCTCGCTCCCGCGGCGTGTTGCCGAATCTCCCGCCGCGGAGCCACCATGGCGCCGCAAGCGACGGCCAGATCCCGTTAGTGCGAGACGGGTCGTTCCACCGAGATTGTAACGACTCGGAGTCGTGCCATAATCGGGAGTCGCACGCGGGCGGGCCGGGGGCGTTGGAGATACCGACGCGCGCATCGTCGCCGGGGTGCTGCAGCGCGCGCAGCGAGGAGAGCCTCGACTTCAGCTTCGTCGCGCGGGAGTGCTTCGGCTCGGGCCGACACGGCAGCTTTGGTTCGGGCCGACGCGCCGGGTATGAGAATGAGGAGGAGGAAGAGGCGATGGACCAGCCTGCGCTGTACAAGTCCAAGACTTACAGCGGGAGCCATAACCTGAGAGGGAGCGGCAGGCCACAAGCGGATTTCGCGAAGCATCATATCGAGTTGTCGCCACACCGTGGCGACGGTCGGCACAGCAGAACACCGTCCATCGTCCCTTCGCCAACGTCGTCCGTGTCAAGTGTCAGCACCAGCCAGCGCGACTCGCACAGGCTTCCTCCGCGCCCGTCGCCTCCCCCGACACCGAATCCGTTCCTCGCTGAGGTAAGCTCCGTTATTCAATAAACCGGCGTAATCATGCTCCCCGCGATCGCATTCCCTTCCGATATACGGGGCCATGCTCAGATCTTACGCTAAACGCTCACTTTCTTTCCCCCGTTCCTTCCATTCCGTCCCTCAGATCGCTGCCCTTGACGAAGAAGACTGTATCGCGAACTTTGCGGCGACAGTCACAACCACAGGCACGTCGACTCGCGCGCCTCCCTTCTCCTCTTCGCCGTCCGAAGGGTTGTCCATCAAAGCTAAGGTCCTCGCGACGCTCGCTCACTTCAAGCCGCGCAATCTACGGCGCAAGAAGATCCAATCCTCCGCTGTGACGAGCGACGAGGCTGACGGCGTCACGGCTGGAGTCGGATTCTGCGAGTCCGAGTCAGCACAGGACTGGGCTGACGTGGACAGCCGGCTGTTCATGACGGACACGCGGATTGGGCACCGACAGTCACGAAACCGAGGCGGCGGTGCACATCCGCGCGGGGGATATCCGCAGCATTTGCGTGACGGCGTCGCATGGGAGGCTCCGTCGCAAGTTACTTTGGGCGACCACACGGCTCGCGACAGTGGCACGCATTTCGCACGGCCTGGGGTTACTTCGAACGATGCTGCTAGTAGCAGTTATTATCGTCAGTTCCAGATGTCTCCGTCCCCTACAGCGGACTACGGCGCTTCGTTTTCCTCCAGAATCTGCCGGAGTTGCAACGGAATGAGCAGCTGCTGCTCCTGCGAAGCGCAACCTGTCGCAGAGTACAGCGTGCGACGACGAGGCTATGCGTCGCAGGGTTCTTCTCGGCAACAGAGCCCTGCGACGATGCAAGTGCGAGTGTGTGACTTCCTAGACGATGGCCCTAGGCACAGGAGTAACGATTACATTATGCCTCCAACGAATCAGAGGTTCTTGTCAGGACCCATTGGGCCGCACGCCAGCTTCTAGACTAGTAAACCTCAAACCATAGCCCATAGCCGTGTCCTTCCACGGATATCCATGTCCTGGAGTTGCCAGGCACAGGTTTCTCACGCGGAACGTTTCTGGCCTTGCCAAGGCCCAGAGGTGGTGCTTTCATCAAGCCCATCATCCAGTGTGCTTGGTCTTAACTGATTGATATGTGCTATGAACTAATTCAGCTGTTTTTTTCCATTCTTTCATTTCAGCCGGTTTCCCTACAGCATCTTGGGGAAATATCACAATTATTGATGAATATCTACATGCTAGATAGAGAAACGCCTTGATGTTGTCATTATGGTGTTCATTTCTATTTTCAAGAGTATGCTTCAGAAGTCTTCTCATTTACGTTACTTTGAGAACAGTGATTTAACAAGGTCTTCACGTCCAACTTGGCAGAATTCAATACTGCAGTGGGACACTGTGACTCTCCTCCCCATCTTGTGGTGGTGATGCGATTTGTGCGAGGACAGATTCGTTCGAGATTTACCTGACAGAAAACAACGAAGTGCATGTGTGTCTCCATTTCCTCGTCGAACACAGCCCAACTTTTCCACTGCACTGAAGGCCAAACCGTACAAACGATGTCCGCAAAGTGCCTTGCCCAAAAACAATCCCAATTGCACCCCCTCGCCCAATAGCAGAAGTTTACGGGAAGTATCCGTTTCGAGAGAGTCCCCCGCGCCGGCTACTGTGCTGAGTCATCATGACAGCGGGGATGAACATGCGGACAGCGACGAAGCAGTTGCAGCCTTCTGGTTTTCGCCACATATTTTCGGACGGCGTCGCGAGGGCACTTCGTCCAGACCCAAATGACCTTTCGCGTTTTTCGCGAAGCCGCGAAGGACACGAGCGCAATAGAAATCTACGGAACACCGCAAATGGGAAACGCCTCGATGACTCAGCATAGCATGACCCCTTGGCAACTGACTGAACTAGAGCCCTATTCGGTCGAAACAACTGCCACTTATCGAAACCGCACAAATTGTGAGCAGATGTCATGTTCGTGACCTATTGTTTGAGCTAATTAAACAGCACTCGGGGTTGTTTCTGATCGTCGCAGTGCAAAACAGCGTAACCGTGGTTACATACGCAATCTGAACTCTGCCACCCAACCTTCCCCTATTGCGACAAAAAAAGTTACCAACGAGCTCACCCTGAATCCCTCGCTTCTAGCAGCGAAAGCCGGCGAAATACCAAATCGACAGAAGCCCCCGCGGCTCGAAAAAGTGGCGTTCCTCTCTCGGGCTCAGGCTGTACAAAGAGAGGTTGTACTGTACAGGGAAAGCAAACGTTATATGGTTGCGGTCTGATTATTGCCTGGCTTACGCCCTTGCTTATGCACTTCACTGGATTCAGCTGGGTAGCTGTAGTGGGTTTGTGGACTGATTGCTTAGCAGCTAGCGTGGCCGTTTAGGGTAGAGTCCGCAGCGAGTGTTAGACCCGAGGGTTTAGCAGGTAGATCCAGCAGCGAGTGTTAGACTCGAGTCTTGCGAAAAACTGACGGCTCCAGCCAGTCAGCTGTCAAGCCGAACAACTAACAACGTCGCGCAAATGACCTTTCACCAGTCATAACTTCGAAAAATTCCGTTAGTATAGTCGCAACCCTCCCCTTGCGACAGTTCGCGACTATGCAGTCGCTGCACCGTCAGGAAAATTAAACCCGCAGTTAGGTTGTGACAGCCCGCGGCTCCTTCGGCCACGGGTCGACCTCAGGTCTGACACTCTCTGCGGAATCAATCCTCAGTCAGCAAATCCATCACAGCTACCCTGTCAACTTTGGATACAGAATTCAATCTACCTCATGAAAGAGCGGTAAGTTCTGGTGGCAATCCGAATGTGACAGGGTGTCCCAAGTCAAAGCGAGAGGCCTGCCCACTTTCCCATTCCCGTCTCGTCCGTGCCGGTGCTCACATGTACTCTTTAATGACAGCGCCTACTTGCACACACAAGCCAAACAGCCCAGCCCTACTACCACTCCCCTTTAATGACAGCGCCTACTTGCACACACAAGCCAAACAGCCCAGCCCTACTACCACTCCCCCACTTTTACTTCTCCCTCCTTTTGTGCGGCCGTTTTCCATTCCAGCATCCAGCACAGTTCACCCTTCCCCTTCCTTCGTAGTTGCTGCACCTCACAGCGCTCAATCGGCGACTGCTGGGACGACTTGCACAGTTCCTTGCATTCGACCGCCTCGAGTCGACATAACCGTTCACTCACGTAGTCACGAACAGAGAACCACTCACTCGACTGTGCTGTGATCCCGGGAAAGGAATGTGACGGGCAGTCGTTCTCGATCGTGCCCCTTTTTCCATTCTGTGTTCCCAGCCTGGCACGCGGATTTGATGTGACGGGTTGCATCTAACGGTCGAGAATTGACCATCGAGAATCAAAGTTTGAAGCCCGCTGCATGATCGAAATCGAGTTTAAAACCTGCGTGCCAAGTAGTTCAATGGTTGGACGGTTGGTTGGATAGTAGGACGGGATCGGTTGTCCTAGGGAACTCTCAACCAAAGGTAGGAAGCTCGAGACAATTTTGGGACATTTGGTACCTCCTCATCAGTTCCGCTTTCCTATTAAAGCATCGCCAACCTCCCCGACCGAGAAATTTGCCCTCATTGTCGCTCACCCAGCCGCTGGCCTCTCGCCTACTAGTATCTTCCTCTTAGAATTTTCACCTTCGTACTACTACCATCGATTCCGGTTTACAATCGAGGAAGCATGGCCACCATCGGCGCCATAGCTGCGCGCCAATTCTCCATCAAGCCTGCAACCGTGACTACAGACTCCGTCGAGCAGGAATCCGTCATCGTCATGCTCCCTGACGGCTCCGTTCGCATTTTCGACGACTCATCAAAGCAGACCGGCGAGGAATTCACGGCGCAGATCATCCTATCCGCGTATCCCAACATGCACCTCACATCGATCGTATCCGTCGTGTCTCCTACCACCCCGCTCGTTCCGGGAGAAACCTATTTTCTCGCGCCGAAGTGTGCCGCGCCGCCTTCCACTCGTCCGCCGTTGACCCCGCCTCGCGCCGTCTCTCGCAGCGCCTCGTCCCCATTTCTCCCCGGGCCGCCGGCCCGGAGCCTCCGAACCGCGTCCCCGAGTGACAGAATTCCGCTAGTGCGCAACGTGCGTCGGGATTTACAGGCGGCGGTTGAGACGGTTACAAGGGTCTCGTCGCCAGGATGCAGCAATGTGCGAAGCGAACGTGAAAAAAACATCGCCGAGTCGGAGTTCGGTTTCGTCGCGCGAACAAAAGCTGGTAGAAGCCGATGCAGCAGCTTCTGTTCGGCCCGAGGCGGAGAGCTCGAGGAGGAGGAGGATTCGACGGAGCAGCGCGGACTGTACAAGTCAAATACTTATAGCGGGAGGCATAACCTGAAAAACGGCACTGGCTCGTTACATGCATGTTTTGCGACGCGTGGTAACGAGTTGTCGCCACTCCGTGGCGAGAGTCGCCGAAGCCGAACGTCGTCCAACTACTCGTCGCCAGCGTCGCCAGCGTCGCCAGCGTCGTCCGTGTCGAGTGTTACTAGCCAGCGTAGCGAGCACAAGTTGCCTCCATCCCCCCTCGCGACTCCGAATCCTACCCTCGCTGAGGTAAGCCCCGCTTCCGAAATTCGACTTGCTGTCATCAGACTTCCCCCGCACTCGTATGATCCTTCCTGTCCATCAGCTATGCTCAGTTATGATGTCATCCCTTCGTGCTTCCTCCACTCGCTTTCCAGATTTCTGCACTTGACGAGGAAATCTATATCGCGGACGTCCCGCCCAGCCTACCAGCGGCAGCCACCACCACTTCTCCGCCTTCCGCCACCGAAGGCTCATCTATCAAAGCTAAAGTTCTCGCAACGCTCGCGGAATTAAAGCCCCGCAATTTACGGCGGTTCACTTCCGCCGGGAAGAAACTGCAGTCCGCATCTGCCGCCGCCGATGGCGCTGACGCCAAGGCGGCGATGCCCCACAGCGCGTCCGAGTCAGCGCAGGGCTCGGCTGACGCGGACAGCCGGCTATTCATGATGACGGACACACGGATTGGGCACCGGCAGCCGCGAACCGGCGGCGGCAGCGCACGCGCAGGGTACTCGCAGCAAGGCGTCGCATGGGCAGCCCCGTCGCAGATCACTTGGAGCGACACAGCGTGCGACCAATACGAGAGTCGCACAGTTACCGTGCGACCTGGTGCGGATTTCGCCTCCCGTCAAACTCTACGCTCACCGTCGTTCACTACGTCGTTCAGCACCGAGCTCGACGTTCCGCTTTCGTCGAGCATTTGCCGGAATTGCAATGGCATGAGCAACTGCTGCTCCTGCGAAGTGCAATACGTTGCCTGACATACTCGTGCGACCAGCCTCCGTGCGTTGCGGCGCGCCGCAGCCGTCACAAAGCTCCACTTGGCGACGGAGCCCTGCGACAGCGCAGAGGCTAGGGGAAAACAGGAGGCGAAGCGCAACAGACGACAACGTGTCCGTCATGCCGCCAGTAGGGCAGAGGTTTCTGTCTGGGCCCTGGGCACCGCGCGTCATTTTCTAGGCATCTCTAAATCTGGGCAGAAAGGCGCTCCCTTTGATGAGATCAATCCCTCCCTGATCCTCGGTTTTGTTTCTAGCTGCAGCGGCATGTTTGGGATTCGCGAAAGCCATAATCTGCTGCAGCAGCTATGTGTACTATATTGAGTTGTCACTTTGTGTAGTGCACTGAGTTGCTAAATTGCTAAGTCTTTGAATCTTGATAGTATGTGCAGTGTGCACTCGCTTTAAACAAAATATTTTCAAGCCTCTGATGATGCACAAGTGGCAATATTCTTGTACCCTTGCAATGAGATTGCGAAACGATGTGGATGATAGGGCAAGCATTTTCATTGTCATATTGGTGACAAATGTGCTACATTTCTTTGGAAATCATTGTACTGCATATTTTGTTTTTGGGAGAATTTTCACTCCATTGGAGGAACGCTACAAATCTTATTGTGGGGTTGCGAAATGCCCAGCTGGGCCCTCCGTCCTTCGCTAACTTCACCTCACACGTTGCAGAGCGTTTCGATTCGATCAATGCAAAAGCTGATTTGCCTCCAGAAGTGCTCTGCTTTGGAGAAACAGAAAATAACGCAGGGCAGGTGGAACATTCCAACACAGCCAAGCTCCTTTCCCCAGTGGAGGCCAATCCAAGTGGAGTGGAGGGAAGAACGATAGAGGGAGACCAGTCTGGGTCCGCGGATTTCACACGGTTTACGCGGTCGCGACGCTCTTTGGCCGATTCAGCCATGTAGCTGTGGTGGAATTGCAGTGTTTCACAGCGTAGTTGTAATTGCCCTTTGGCAAGACCCCATTACAACTACCCTTCTAAACAGGAGTCCTGAGCTTAAAAACCCCCAGGAGGAGACGGAAAGTCCTCGCTCAGCCCGGATGTGAAAGGGTGATCCAAGCTCAGAACAGGGACCTGCCCACATTCCGGCCTTTCTGGTCCAGTACCGTACACGTGGTGAAGTGCCCCCTTCACGTGGCCAGTCCCACACAGCCCAACTCTCTTCCAATTCCCGACTCCCGAATTCAATGCCTCTGCGTTGAAGCTCCTCCTTTTTGTGGCTGGTTTCTGTTCCCGCGTCCGCCAGACCGCACCCTCGCCTTGCTTTGCTGGCCCTAGCCCACCAATCCAACACCCCACAAACGATACCCGCAAATTGTACGTTTCACTTCACTCCCTTCCAGTCACAAGCACAGCTCCACCCACTCTTGACTGCATTGTGCATGGGAAGGAAGAGAAGAGACAGGCACCAGCCTTTCTCCAGTAGGCTCCAGTTACCGATCTGGTACTCAACGTGGATTTGATGCGGCGGGTTCAATATAACCGTCGAAATTTGAGGATTGAGAGAATGGAGTTTGAAACTCGCGCCGCGATCTCCGTCCTCCTGCATTTGAGCCTTTCGTACATCCGCTTCAAATTCCGCTTTCCTGATGTCATTTTCTCAGAAAGGAAATTCGCCCTCATCTCTCCCCATCCAGCTGCTGGCCTCTCGCACAGAACTCCCAACAAAGAGTCCTCCACGTAGTTTCATCTATCTTCATCGATTCCCCCGTTCAATCTAGGAAGCATGGCTACCATCAGCGCCATAGCTGCGCGCCAATCCTCCATCAAGCCTCGCGCAGGAGGCGCTACAACAGACTCCGTCGAGACAACAGAAACCGTCATCGTCATTCTCCCTGACGGATCCATTCGTCTCTTCGCCGACGACTCGTCAAGCCAGACCGGAGAGAAATTGTCGGCCCAGATCGTCCTATCCGAGTATCCCGACATGCACCTCACCGTGACATCGCCCCGGGATGAGTTTCGGGAAGTCGTGTCCCTCTTATCTCCAACCTCCCCGCTCGTGCCGGGAGAAATCTACTGTCTCACGCCTAAGCGCCACGCCGCGCCGCCTGCCATTTCTCCGCCATTCACCCCGCCTCGCACCTCCGGCTCTCGCGACGTCACGTCCCCGTTTCTCCCGCCGACTTTTGAGGCGCCTCAAAAATCGTCCCCGTTTCTCCCGCCGACCCGACGCCTCCGAGGCGCGGCCTCGAGTAACGCAAATACGCTCGCGCGCAGCGTGCATCGGGATCTGCGCGCGGCGGTGGAGACAGTCGCGAGGGTCTCGTCGCCCGGATGCTGCAATGTGCGACGCGAACGGGAGGAACGCATCGCAAAACGAATCGCCGAGTCGGGGCTCGGTTTCGCCGCGCCAAGAAACGCCGTAGGTGCGAATCGACGCAGCAGCGTCTGTTCGGCCGCACGCGGAGAGGCAGAGGACGAGGAGGAAGCGGGCGATTCGATGGAGCAGCTCGGACTGTTCAAGTCGAAGTCAGTTGAGGTAAGCTCCGTTTTCTGATTCAGCTGCTGTCGCCTGACCTCCTCTCCACACTCGCATTCTCCTATCCTCAGCCGTGCTCAGCCGTGCTCAGCCATGCTCTCAGCCATGCTCTCAGCCATGCTCTCAGCCATGCTCAGCCATGCTCAGCCATGCTCAGTTCTAGCGTCAACCCTTCGTTCTACTTCGTCCTTGCCTTCCAGATCCCTGCACTTTCCGAAGAGATTTATATCGCGGACGTCCCGGCCAGCCTACCAGCGGCAGCCACAACCGCAGCCAACACTCCGCCTTCCGCGTCGCGCGAGGGGTCATCTGTCAAAGCTAATGTCCTCGCGACGCTCGCGCAATTCAAGCCCCGCAGTTTCCGGCGCTTCCCTTCCTTCGAGAAGAATCTGCAGTCCGCGTCTGCCGCCGCCAATGGCGCTGACGCCGAGGCGGCGATGGTGCACAGCGCGTCCGAGTCAGCGCAGGACTGTGCTGACGTGGACACGCGGATTGGCCACCGACAGCCGCGGAACGGCGGCGGCGGCGACGGCGCACGAGCAGGGGGGTACGCGCAGAACGGCGTCGCATGGGCGGCGCCGTCGCAGATCACTTGGGGCGACCAACACGGGAGTCGCACAGTTTCCGTGCGACCGGGCGCTGATTTCGCCTCCCTTCAAAGTCAGCGCTCTCCGCCATTGACTACCGAGCACAGCGTTCCGCTTTGCTCGAGCATTTGCCGGAGTTGCAATGGCATCAGTAACTGCTGCTCCTGCGAAGTGCAGTGCGCGCCTCAAGCTGACCTATTCGTGCGACCAGCCTCTGTGCGTTGCGACGCGCTGCAGTCGTCGCAGTGCCGTCCCAACGCGGCATTGGAAAACAGGAGAAGCGCGGCAGACTACAACGAGTACGTCATGCCGCCAAGGAGCCAGGTGTTTCTGTCTGAACCCTTGGCAGGGCGCGCCATTTTCTAAAAGGCAGGTATAAATTCTGACAAAACCGCGCGACCTTAGCTATATCCTGATAATAAAGCGCCTCCCGCGCTCTTTATGTAAATCCCTGATCCGCCGACAGATGACGGCAGTCCGATTTGTAGCAGCGAGCGTCGCCCTTCGTAGCAGCGTTTTTGGGATTCGCGAAGGCCATAATTGCCTCTCGCGGCTGGGAAGTGTTCTGTATGTACTAGATTTTTTCATTTCAAGCGTAATCGTATGTAATGATTTCTAATAAGAGTTATTGTACAAAACCTATACAAATTTGCAAAGTTATGTGCAACATCGTGTTGGAGAAATGAAATATGTACAAGCCCCCTGATGATGAAGTTAACCTTGTAACTTGCCGAGGAAGCGTCTTGCGTTGTTGAGTCGAAGAGCTGCTGTGACTAAACAGAGAATGCAACGGCTGTGGGTGCATGGCGTCTTGCATCCAACATATGTGGGTGCCGAGGCATAGCTGACACTGGCTGTTGCCCGATGTGACTATGTCGAAGGAGCTCTGGTAGAGGGGGCGAGTGTGACAACAGCAGAGGCATAGCTGACACTGGCTGTTGCCCGATGTGACTATGTCGAAGGAGCTCTGGTAGAGGGGGCGAGTGTGACAACAGCAGAGGCATAGCTGACACTGGAGTCGCGCATGGAGTGGCAGTGGCTGGACTGCTCGTACTGCACAAAGCGGATGGATGGTGGTGAAGGGGAGAGCTCTGCCATCTGCACAGGCAAAGCGTGGGGGAAAGAAAAGAGGGGGGAGGTGGGGGGGGAAATTGGGGGGGAAATGAGGGGGGAAATGAGGGGGGAAATGAGGGGGGAAATGAGGGGGGAAATGAGGGGGGAAATGAGGGGGGAAATGGGGGGTAAGTAGCATGGAGTGGCAGTGGCTGGTCTGCTCGTAAAGGACAAAACGAATGGAGGGCGGCGAGGGGGACAGCTCTGCCATCTGCGCAGGGGGCAATGGGAGTGGAAGAGTGCCAGATCCCTTTCTTTTCAGTCTGACTATTCCCTTTCTCTGGTGTCCTGAGATTTCCCTTTCGAAGACCCAACCCAAGCTACTATCTCTTTCCTCATCCCCTCTGCCCCCCTCTCTTGCTCCCCCCCCCTCCCTCCCCCTCTTCACTCTGCCCCTGCGTGTCCCCAGCCTCATTACCGCCCACATACCTGCAGCAACAACCCGATTGGGTGCCTGCCGCACACAGTGTTCCCAGTGCGCTCGATATAGTCACGGAAGGCCTTCGCCTTCCCCGTCTCAATGAGCGCCATGCCCTCGCGGTCCATGGCCTCGATCGCCTTGTGGATGGGGCCGTGGGCCTTGTCGTAGGGGGTGAAGCGGAACCTGATGGAAAGAGAAGAGATCGGGGAAAGGGAAGAACTGTCAGGGAGGGCAAGTTGCGGCTGAACAATTGCACATGGCATGGATGCGTGTGTGGCATGATGTTATGCAACCAGCACAACACAGCACACCACACCAGACCACACCACACCGCACCGAAGACACCGAATCACACAGCACAGCACAGCACCGCTACTCACCACACAGCACCACACAGAACCACAACGTGGCCGCACCTGGAGCCCCAGTGGCAGAAGTCAGAGGAGATGGAGAAGAAGTTGGACGAATCGGAGAAATATCTGCGAGGGGCAGAGAGGAGGAGAGAGGGCGAGAGACAGGAGGAGGGAGGAGCAACAAGAGGGGTGAGAAGGGCTGAGGAGGAGTGAGGAAGGGAAACTGGGGGGTGGATATGGAACGTACGTGAAGGGGAAGAACATTCCGCCCAATTGGGCACGAGTGAGCGCATGTTTAAACAAGAGGGCAACTGTTTCGACGCACATCCATTCAAAAGTAAAATCACATCAGCTGCTGCCAGCTTATGCTTCTGGCCTATGATGCTGGCTCTGGCGGTCAGAGCCCCATTCTGGCCGTGAGAGCCCCATTCTGGCGGTCAGAGCCCCCATTCTGGCCGTGAGAGCCCCATTCTGGCGGTGAGAGCCCCATTTCTGGCGGTGAGAGCCCCATTCTGGGGGTCAGAGCCCCATTCTGGCAGTCGGAGCCCCATTCTGGCGGTCAGAGCCCCCCATTCTGGCCGTGAGAGCCCCCATTCTGGCGGTCAAAGCCCCATTCTGGCGATCAGAGCCCCATTCTGGCGGTCAGAGCCCCCATTCTGGCGGTGAGAGCCCCCATTCTGGCGGTCTGAGCCCCCATTCTGGAGGTCTGAGCCGCATTCTGGTGGTCAGGGCCCCCATTCTGGCGGTCAGGGCCCCCGTTCTGGCGGTCAAAGCCCCCATTCTGGCGGTCAGAGCCCCATTCTGGCGGTGAGAGCCTCTATTCTGGCAGTCTGAGCTCCCATTCTGGCGGTCTGAGCCCCATTCTGGCGGTCAGAGCCCCCATTCTGGTGGTCAGAGCCCCCATTCTGATGGTGAGAGCCACCATTCTGGCGGTCAGAGCCACATTCTGGCGGTCAGAGCCCCCATTCTGGCGGTGAGAGCCCCATTTCTGGCGGTCAGAGCCCCATTCCGGTGGTCAGAGCCTCATTCTGGTGGTCAGAGCCCCCATTCTGGCGTATGCTGCTGGATTATGCTGCTGGCTTATGCTGCTAGCTTATGCTGCCGTCTTATGCTGGTTAAATTACCTGGCTCCATCTGCCCACCTAGAGAGAATGCTGCCGTATCTGGCTCTGGCCTGTGGCAAAGCCTTGCCCAACCACACTCGCCTGTGGCATCTGCTTCAAGTCAACTCGAACGTCTACTCGTGTGACCTTCAACCAAGGTGACACACTCACCTGGAGAGAATGCCGCCGTATCTGGCTTCTGCTGCAGCATCCAGCGACCCCACCATTATTGGCACCAGCAATACATTGTGACTGTATTGAGGGGTTGGGAGGGAAGGGGGAAAGAAAGACGAGGTGAAGCTGTTGAAGGAAACAAGGAGCGCCTCTGCGACCACCCTTGACTTGCCATGCCACCTGCTAGCACTGACTTGCCATGCCACCTGCTAGCACTAACTTGCCATGCCACCTGCTAGCACTGACTTGCCATGCCACCTGCTAGCACTGACTTGCCATGCCACCTGCTAGCACTGACTTGCCATGCCACCTGCTAGCACTGACTTGCCATGCCACCTGCTAGCACTGACTTGCCATGCCACCTGCTAGCACTGACTTGCCATGCCACCTGCTAGCACTGACTTGCCATGCCACCTGCTAGCACTGACTTGCCATGCCACCTGCTAGCACTGACTTGCCATGCCACCTGTTAGCACTGACTTGCCATGCCACCTGCTAGCACTGACTTGCCATGCCACCTGTTAGCACTGACTTGCCATGCCACCTGCTAGCACTGACTTGCCATGCCACCTGCTAGCACTGACTTGCCATGCCACCTGTTAGCACTGACTTGCCATGCCACCTGCTAGCACTGACTTGCCATGCCACCTGCTAGCACTGATTTGTCGGCAGCTACTGATTCACTGCCTCTGCAGTGCATTGACTTCCTGTGCTGACCCACGTTGACTTGCACTGACTTGCACTAACTTGTATTGACTCACTCGCTACACATGTGAGCAAGGAAGAGCACGTGCAGCGTTGACCCGCATTAATAGCCGACAGCCGACAGCCGACAGCCGACAGCAAACACCCGACACCCGACAATCGACACCCAACACCCAGCACCCAACAGCCGACACCCGACAGCTGACACCCCACAACCGACACCCGACAGCTGACACCCGTCACTCGACAGCAAACAACCGACATCCGACACCCGACACTCGACAGCCGACATGTCGCATAGCCTCCTCTCCACTCAGCAGCTCTCCTCCGTGATGCCTAGCCTGGCTCCTTAACAGCTTTGCCCATCCTGCGCTTGTACGTGATGAGACCCGACTTCCCTGACTCATGCCCCCTCGCGGTCTGCTCTGCGCCCCTGCTGCTTGGCCGCGAACCTGATGCTCGGGCGACGTTCGTTACATGATCCTGAACCGCCCTCCCTTGCGCATTCTGCAGCGTCAGGACCCCTGACTCCTTCTTCCCTCGCACGACCCATCGCTTCTTGCTCAGGCCACACTCCAGCGTGTTCCGCCTCGGCTCCTTCCGGTACACCTCATCCCCGATCTGTAGCTCAGTCCCGCGTCTAGGGCCAGTGCCTTCTCCTTCCTTCCGCTGTCGGTAGCGCTGAGCATCGCGGAGCTGCGCTACTTCCAGATTTTCCAAGGCTGCGGGCAGCGCGCTGCGCAGGTAGCTAGCGTGTTTGGCAGCCACCGCCGCCCAGGTCCGGGGGTCGTCTGTGGACACCAACTGCACCATTATCCGCGGAGCGTCCACCGGCAGCGCTGGCTCCTTTCCGTAGAGCAAATAATACGGGGAGTAGTCCTTCAGTGCCTGCTGCCTGCTAAAGCGGTACCCCGCCGCCACCCATGGCAGATGCTTGACCCACTCCCTCCGCTCTTCCTCCTCACAATACTTCCTCAGGCCCATCTTTAGACTCTAGACCATCCACTCTGTCACGCCATCTGCCTAGGGGTGGTACCGCGAATTCCGCTTGTGGGTGATGCCCACTTCTTGCAGCAAGGCGTGGAATTCGCTACCCTGGTCCGTCAGGACCTCCCCACACAAGCCGAACCTGGTTAAGACTTGCTGGGTAAAAGCCTCTGCCACTGCTGTCGTCGTCTTCCGTGCCAGCGCCGCCACCTCTATCCACTTACTCGTGTGCTCGATCATCACGAGAATGTATTGCTTGCCTCGCCGAGATAGCGGCAGTTCCCCCGCTATGCTCAGCGACCAGCGGTACCCGATAAAGCCAATGGGTAGAGACTGCAGCTCTGCCTTGGTTCGCTCCAGCCTGGCCTTGTTCCTGCTGCATGGTTCACACCTAGCCAGCACTTACTTCACGGCCATCCTTAGCCCTGCCCACCAGTACATGGTCTACAGCATCTGCACGGTCCGCTCCACGACATATTGCCCCAACTGTGTGTGTACCTTCGCGATGAGAGCCTCCCTCTCCTCTGGCCTGGGCTCTATCCTCCACCCATCCTCCGTCACCAGCTGCAGCTGGTCCGTCTACCATCAGTAGTGTACCCCCCGAGCTCACACCCTCTCAGGCACTTCTTCCCCTTCCGGTCCATTGCCCTGTACCCAGGCGAGAACTTGCTTGTCTTCCCAAATCTCGCGACTCCCCTTCTCTGTCTCTGCCGTCCAGTTCCATCCTCCTTCTCCACGGCCACCGCCATGCAGGTAAGTGCGGCATCTGCCCACACCTCTCTCCTCCCGTCTCCCTCTTGCCCCTGCCGAGACAGCCCATCGACCTGCTGCAAGGTCTTCCCAGGTCCATGCTTCACGTCAAACACGAACTCCTATAGGCGCATGGCCCATCGAGCATTCCGGCCCTTCAGGGTCAAGTTCGTCATCAGCCAGAGTAGTGGCTGGTGATCAGTCACCACCGTGAACCTCCTCCCCTGCAAGAAGGGCCGGAACAGTTCTACCGCCCATACTGCCGCCAACCCCTCTCCCTCGTACGAGCTGTAGTTGCTCTTTGCTGGGCTGCATGACCTGCTGGCTTACGCCACTACCCTCTCCGTCCCTTTTTCCTCCTGGCAGAGCACGGCGCCCATCCCACTGCTGCTCCAATCAGTGTACAACAGGAAGGGCTCGTCTGGGTTAGGCAACTTCAGCATTGGCGCCGTCTTTACAGCCTCCTTGAGGGCGGTCCATGCTTTTTCCTGCTCTTCCCCCCACTTCCATCCTTCGTCCTCTCTCAACAATTGGTTGAGTGGCTTGGCTGTCTTGCTAAAGTTCGGGATGAATATGCGGTAGTAGCTCAGGAATCCCAGCTGCGCTCTCAGTGTGCTGCGATCGGTGGGTGCCTTCAGCCTGTCAACCACCTCCACCTTCGCCTGCTGCACCGAGAGCCCTCCTTCTCCCAACTAGAAACCTAGGTAAGCCACAGTCTTAACCCCGAAGTGGCATTTCCCCGGATGGCACATCAACCCCGCCGCTTGGATAGCCGCTGGAGTTGCCGCCACGTCCGCTATGTGTTGCTCTCCTGTCTGGCTGTAGATGATGACGTCATCAAAGTAGCATAGGGCCCACGACACCTCCTGTAGGACTTGGTCCATCAACCTTTGAAACTTAGCTGAAGCATTCTTCAGGCCGAAGGGCATAAAGTTCCATTCGTAGAGTCGGTCGGGTCCATGTAACGCGGTCTTGGCCTTATCAGATTGAATCCCTAGTAGAGGTCCAAAGTCGACTAGATCCTCCCCTCCGCCAGCTTGTCGAAAATCTCTTCCGCCATTGGCATGGGGTACCTGTCCCTTTTCGTGATGTGGTTCAGGTCCCGATAATCCCCGCACATCCGTCTTGCTAGCATCTCTTCAGTCAAGTCCTTGCGTGTAGCTACCACAGTTGCTGCTGCATACTCTGATGTCGATTCCCGGATCAGGACGTCAGCCAGCAACTCGTCGCACTTGGCCACGACTATGTCGCGATCCCCTGGACTAAGTCTCTGCCTTCTTTGATACACGGGCTCCAAGCTTTGAAGCTCGATCTCCATCTCCATCCAATTGCTCCTGCTAGGGAATAGGCGAAGGCGCCCTCTCGAGCACTCCCTTCAGTTCCTCCTTTAGTTCCTCCTCCAGCCCCTCCCCTGTGTCCCACTGGCTCTTTTCAAGGGGTATATCCATAAGGGGGGGTGCCTTTGCCTCCAGCTCTTCGTCTGTATATTGCCGCTCCTCCATCTCCTCCGTTGCTCTCGCCAAGAGGCTAATCCCTCTGCTGTTCAAGCGTTCTTCATCCCGCCTACATTCCTCCCTTGCCTCCGCTTTCATCCTTTGCCACGCTTCCGCTATGTCCAGGGCTTGCACTAGGTCTACCTCCAGCATTTCTTCTATGTCCCTCCACCTCCACAGCATCAACAGCTGTTTGCGCATCGCCTCCTGCCACTTTTCTACCCGGTACATCAGCCATACCAGCACATGCTGATCTATTGCTCCCCCTAGAGCTCGCCGCCTCTCTGCTTCGGTCACTCCTTCTGCTGCCGTCGCGTTTCTCAAGTACCCCAGTGCCCGCTCCTGTTCCACTGCCTATTGAACGTCTCAAAGTCGTACGTGGGCTCCGCCAACCCCTCTACTTCTCGGTACTACTCCACTCTCGGGCCGGCTTCTTCCTCCCACCTTCGCCTCTCGCTGCTCCTCTCCAGGTATACTCCGACATCCTCAAAGCGGTTTTCGGGTACCCGGTCTGCCGATGGCTCCTTGTACTCTGGTCTCCCTCTCATGTACCGAGCAGGCAACACTGCCGCTGTACTCTCCTCTCGCCGCAATTCTGCATCCCAGTATCATGGCTAGTACATGACTTTCTCTGCCCAGATATCGTAGTCATCGGAATCCGAGATAAGGCAGTGCACCATGAGCCTCGCTTCATTCTCGGTCCCGGGAGCCAGCACCACGTCCTGCAAACGCAGGGTTCTTGGCAGCCATTTGCCTACTCCCCCTTCTGCCGTCTGTATCCTCACCCCTTCAGGTGTCACGTTCTCTTCCTGTTGCAGCCCCAAATGCTCGGCCAATCGCCTGCCGATCAGCACAGAGGCACCCGTGTCAATGATCGTAGTCCCCGGATACGTTCCTTCTACTACCACGGACCCTTCCACTGCTTCCACCACGCGCGGCCGTGCCGCAATACGCTCAAAGGGATGTCTGCGTGGTCCATGGCTGCCCCCTGCGCACGCCACCGCCTCCGCTGCAACTTCCGTTGCTCGCTGCACCGCTGGGGTGGGCTCCATGCGCGGCCCTCTGTGCTCCTATCGTGTCTCTCAGCGCCCATCCCTGCCTTCATTGCGCAGCCCCAGGTCCTCTCTGACTCGATCTCTCCCTGAGGCCATGAAGAAGGGCTCTGGCAGCTCCCTTGCATCCGCCTGATCGGCTCGGGCCATTAGTGCTCCCCAGTCCTCCTCTTCCTCGCAACCCTCCGCTTCAACCTTGAGTTTCCTCAGCTCTTCCTCCAATGCTTCAATGCGACTGCGTCGGCCCCCTCGGGTTCGTTCCTCCCTCTGCTTCGTGTAGCAGTTGTCGGCAGCATGCCCCTTTCGCTGGTAGTAGGTACAGGACTGCAACTAGGGGCAGTCTCGCTTGAATTGCCCGGGCTCTCTACACTTGTAGCGCACGGGCTCTTCACCCAAGGGCGGAGACGCACTCCTTGCTCTCCTCACCCATCCTCTCTGAGTCATGCCTTCCAGCCCTCCTTCCTCATCTCTTTTGCTTTCAGCCATCATGGCTCCACCCCAACTCACTCCCCTGCGATCACACTTGCGGGGCACGGCCCATTCTGTCCTTTTTCGCAGGTCATACATGCTCAGGGACTGCTCATTCCGCCATGCTATCTCATAAGCCTGCTGAAGCGTGGCGTTTGGGCCTAAGTTGTACGTGTGATCTCGCACTGTGCGCGCCAGATCTCTCGACAGCCCATCCAGGAATTTCGCCACCACTATCCGTGGCTCCTTGCAGCTGATGGCGTCAGCCACCTGATCCACCCGCCGATAACAAGCCAGCAGTGACTCTCTCAGGGCCCTCCACAGCTGTTCAAATTCTCTCAGCCGCGCAATCGTTTGCGTGGGGAAATGGACCTGCAGCTCGGCGAGGAATCTCTCCGTCGGGTCTCTCGGCGTCAGGATCCGTCCCTCCTCATCGCGGCAGACCCGACCCAATGCATCTCGCTCTTATTCCTGCAGCAGCAGATCGCGTACTTCGAGGAAGAACGCTTCGGCATCTCCAGCCAGCGTGTTTCCCAGGGAGCAAAAGAAGTGCCCCAGATCCAATCCGTCCAACTCCCAGCAGAACTTCTCCATGCGGATGTGCCTCGCATACGCCTTAAATCGCGGTCCGGTCTCTTGGTCGCTCGTGAAGCGGGTTGGAACCTCCACTTTCGGAAGACTGGTGTAACGATACCTCGTCCCTTCCTTCCAAAGGGATTCCCTCGACGGCCCTCCCGCAGACGCGCCTCTCCCCCCGGCAGCACCTCCGCCACCCATCTCGCTTAGTCCCGCAGATGCGCCGATCTCTGCAGATCCGTCTCCTCCGGAGCCCGCGACTCCTCTACTGCGGTCTGCGGCGCCCCCTCTTCCCGCCGGCGGGATTCCTCCTCCCGTGCGACGATCTGCTCGCATGGCGAAACTGCTCGAGCCGCGGATCTCCTCGTCGCGCTCTCGCATCCCTTCACAAGCATCTTCGTGCGGAGAGTCGCGTGTATCCTCGGACGATTATCATCCCCGTTCTTCGCCTCCTTCGCTTGGCGGAACGTTCTCCTCCCTCAACCGGGGATTCTCCCCCACGGGTAGGCACATGCCGCTTCGCAACGACATGCTCGCCATAAGACTCTGTTTGTAAGAAAACGCCCGAGACTAAATCTCGCACCCTGATCCTCTTAACTGCACTTCTGTCCGGCCTCCTTACATGGATCTAGCGTTGCTCAAGAGTACTTCCATTAGTAAGAGAGCGTACAGGCTTTCCCATGGTAACGAGGGAACAAACAGAGGAGCATGTCACTGTCCGAACCGCTCCACCAGATCGCTTACGTGTCATGTCCCAACCTGCTGCCCTCCCAGCTGGCCAACCGCTCCCTCCTCCCAACTCGCCCATCACTGTACCTTTATCAAAAAGTGTTGTCGGCTATGTACACTATATACACTTGCTTACAACTCTCTTCGCACCTTTTCACTCTTCACCCGCACCTCCTTCGCTGTCCCATGAAACTCGGTAACAGGTATAACAAGATTCATGCGACAGACACCCCAACAGCCGACAGCCGACACCCAGCAGCCGACAACCGACAGCCGACAGCCAACACCCGACAGCCCACAGCCGACACCCAACACCCGACACCCAACGGCCAACACCCGACAGCCGACAGCCGACAGCCGACTCCCGAAACCCGACATCCGACAGCAAAACACCCGGCAACCGACAGCTACAGCCAACGGCCTGCACCAAACACCAAACACCCGACACCCGACAGCCGACAATTGACACCTGACAGCCGTCAGACAACAACTGACTCGCATTGAACCGCATTGACTTCCTCTCTGCAAATGCGTGCGAGTGCAGCGTTTACTCAAACTGACTCGTGTTGACTCACTCTTTGCACAAGTGAGCGAGAAACGGTGCGTGCATCTCCAGCGAGTGCTCCGCCTCGTCCACGTGGCGCCCCATCTCCTCAAACTCGCCCGTCGCCCTCAGCTCCGAAATCACTGCAACAATGCAGCAAACCGAGCGAGCGGGGTGTGGGGTTGGAGGGTGTGGGGTGGGGGGGGGAAGAGAGCTTTGAAAGTATTGCAGAGGGAAGAAGAGGGCACAAAGAGCCGGGATGAAGGGAGTGAGCGCACGCATGAGTTCTCTGCCTCGTCCACATGCCGCCCCATCTCCTCGAACTCACCTGTTTCCCTCAGCTCCGATACCACTGTAACGAACGGGCACATTAAGGGGGTAGAGGGCGCCTAAGGTGACTATAACGAATGGGCAGTAAAGGGGGCATGAGGACAAAGGAGGATGTGCATGGGAATGGCTGGAAATGGACATGTCGAAGGATGGATGGGAGAGGAACATTCAGTGGCAATGGATGTGAAATGAGTGGCAATGGATGTAAAACGAGTAGCAATGGACGTAAAACGAGTGGCAACGGATGTAAAACGAGTGGCAATGGACGTAAAACGAGTGGCAATGGACGTAAAACGAGTGGCAATGGACGTACCTTGAGTGTCGATGGGCAGGGGGGCCACGGGGGTGTGGAAGGAGGTGGCTCGTGGCAGCACGCACTTGCGAGTGTAGTGGTGGTGGGAGGGACCTAGGAGGAAGATGCGACGGCTGATTGCAGGAGGGGAGAGCGGGGGGGAGGGGAGAGGGGAGAAAGGGGTGGGAGCGGGGTGACAGGGCTAGGAAGTGTGCTTTCGAACAAGGCAGAGCGGGGTAAGAGGGGAAGAGAGGGGTGGGGAGGGAAGGCGGTCCACATGACGACTGAATTAGCAAGAAATCAGCATGAAAAGGCGGTTCCCCCAGTGAGAGGTCTCCATGAGGGGAGGAAGTGAGGGGTGAGAGGTGAGGAGGTGAGAGGTGAGGAGGTGAGGTTGGAGAAAGGGGGAGGGGGACCAGGGCAGGGATGTTCCCATGGATGGTGCATGGTGTGCTCACATGGATGGCATGCTCACATGGATGGCATGCTCACATGGATGGCATGCTCACATGGATGGCATGCTCACATGGATGGCATGCTCACATGGATGGCATGCTCACATGGATGGCATGCTCACATGGATGGCATGCTCACATGGATGGCATGCTCACATGGATGGCATGCTCACATGGATGGCATGCTCAAATGGATGGCATGCTCACATGGATGGCATGCTCACATGGATGGCATGCTCACATGGATGGCATGCTCACATGGATGGCATGCTCACATGGATGGCATGCTCACATGGATGGCATGCTCACATGGATGGCATGCTCACATGGATGGCATGCTCACATGGATGGCATGCTCACATGGATGGCATGCTCACATGGATGGCATGCTCACATGGATGGCATGCTCACATGGATGGCATGCTCACATGGATGGCATGCTCACATGGATGGCATGCTCACATGGATGGCATGCTCACATGGATGGCATGCTCACATGGATGGCATGCTCACATGGGTGGCATGCTCACATGGATGGTGCGTGCAAGTGTGCGAAGGCATAGGCAGCACATCGGCCTGAATAGCGATAGCCCGCGTGGCTGCACGGGGGGAAGGAAGATCATGGATGATGGAGTGAAGACGGCAGGAGTGAGGACGGCAGGAGTGAGGACGGCAGGGGTGAGGACGGCAGGGGTGAGGACGGCAGGGGTGTGGACGGCAGGGGTGAGGACGGCAGGGGATCAGATGTCAGGGCGACAAGGATTTGTAGGGCGATGAAATAAAGATGAGACAGGTATGCATGCAGAGCGCGAGGGGAAACACGACAACAGCATAAGACGGAGGGAAGGGGGAAGGAAAGGAGGGAGGAGGAGGATGGGGGGCGGGGGGGGGTGGGGAAGGGGCCAAGTTCTGACGCATGGCCGAGGTTGGAGATCGCAATTAAACAGTTGGAATCATCTCACCCCACCTCACCCCATCCCATCCCATCCCACCCCACCCCACCCCACTCCACCCCATCCCATCCCATCCCATCAGACGGACTTCCCCCTGACTCACGGGGCGATGACGGCGCGCACGGCGGCGTCAGGCGTCACCCCCGAGGCCGCCAGCCACGCCTCGATCTCCTCGCCCAAATCCTCCGCTATAGTCACATCGCAATACACCACATCGCATCGCATCACATCGCATCACACCACATCGCATCGCATCACATCGCATTGCATCACATCGCATCGCATCACACCACATCGCATCGCATCACACCACATCACATCGCATCACATCGCATCACATCGCATCCAAGGCGGTAGGGAGTAGGGGGGGACAGGTGATCCCGCTACGAGAATGAGAAAATAAGACCAGCAGTTACCACGGCCGCTGTAGTCACACTCGGCCGTCCACCTCGCTGTAATCACGCTTCCCCCAGCGAGATTAAATCTCGCCCAAAAAACAGCTTCTTGCTGGGTAAGCAAGCCGCATGCGCTCTGCATGACGTCTTCCTGTCCTGTCGACTCGTTATAAGCGTATCCCCTACAATTGAACTCACCGTCGTCGGTGTACCAGCTCCCCGCGTGACTCGCGTGTCTCGTGTATCCAGGTGGTGTCGATTCCTTAATCTTCGAACCCGCTCTCGTCTTCGTCCCTCCCCCCACTGCGGCCCACATCCTCGCAACGCAGCAGAAACGCACTCCCACCGCGAATCACGCGACGTAAGGTCCAAAAGAAGGAGCCAATCCGTGAGCTCCGCACGGAAACGATCGGATGGGTCCAATGTCGCGAACAGACCGAACGTCACGGCTATTGAATCGCGATTGCTCCGAGAACGGCTTGGAGCTCCTCTCACCCTAAACGAAGGTGGCAATTCGGGTTAGAGATGGTGAGAGATTAGAGTGGAGTGAATAGGGTGTGATTAGAATCAGAGTTTTGGATGCCTGATGCGAGCCTACAGTATCTAAGTGTGAACGTATTTATCAAGTGAGAGGAACTTCTAGTACGGCAGAGTCAAGTGGTCCCTGGTCCCTGCCGTGGAATCCCGCATGCCTTCTCTGCTCGACGGGGATGACTGCTTGGGTGATTGGTCCACGACGTCAGCGACACACCCGAAATCTACGTAAAGCGGCGAATGTTGGATGAATTCAGGTAAGTACATGGCAGTGTAGCTCGGGTACATACAGATTTATAGCCTTAATCACACCAAGCAAGCTGCTTGTTGTTGGGGTGGGGGTTAGATTGCCTGTTGCATGGTTACTGTAGGTTCCCACTTATCTGCAATAATCATTTCAATGCATACGTATAATGACACCTTCTTTTGCACCAACCGTGCTTGCCTGAACAACTATTGTTGCTTTTGCAAGTACCGTACAGGTGTTCATGTGTGTCTAGTCTGGTTGCTGTCACCAATAGTTTCATTCTATGGTCCCCGCATCCCCTTTCTTCATGCAAGGGGAAGGGCAAACGCAGATGCACACCGCGAGCATTGTGTAAAAGACTTTCAGATGCACACATGGTATGACAACTGATTGGGGATGCACACAGTGAGCATTGAGACCTTCACGTTGTGTTACTCTTGCAGTTTACATTGAAAAACTCCTGACAAGGACAAGGGCAGATGTTAGCAAGTCATGGGGAAGCCCCTCACGAGTCAGGCGTCGGCTGTGACGAGGAGGAGGGGACGCAGGGGAAAAGGGGGGGAGACGAGGCGTGGTCCAGCATCACGCCCGTGGCGGGCGTGCAGGCGTCAGGTCGAACGGCGCCACAGGAGTTGCGCGGTCGGCTGCAGCCTGACAACGCTGCCACGGCATCATTACGACGCCGCCACAGCGCGGCGTCGATGCCGCGACGGCTCGTCGGAGCTGTGACGGCAGCACCACGAAGCCGCCATGGCAGCTCGGAAAGGCCGCCACGGCGACGCGAAAACGGAACAGAAACGAGCACGCGGCGGAAGCGTGGGGAGCAGGCCCGGGAAGGGCGACCTGCTCTGATACCATGTCACGAGACTAGGTAGCTAGGACGCCATGGAATGGCACGAGGGTTTAGCTAGGAGAAAGTTGACAAGAGAAAAGAGATCGAGAATAGATGAGAGAGGGATACAAGGAGGGGTTTTGTACCATCTATAGTACGTTTCAGTAGCACCTACCAAGCCTACAATTATATAACATATATATAATTTAACATGTAGCATGTGCGTCATCACTCATAGCGCGCGCCTCATTGCTCATAGCGTGCATCTCCAATGGTGCATTCACATTCGCAAGGGTGCCATCACAATCACACGGTGCCATACCATCACATGGTACCATCGCAATCACACAGTGCCATACCATCACATGGTGCCATCACAATCACAAGGTACCACACCATCACATGGTGTCATCGCAATCACACGGTGCCATACCATCACATGGTGCTATCGCAATCACATGGTGCCATACCATCACATGGTGTCATTGTTAAATGATATCTTATATATAATTGTAGGCTTGGTAGGTGTTACTGGAACCTACTGTAGAGGGTACAACTCCCTCCTTGTATCCCTCTCTCTTCTAATCTCATTCTCTCATCTCTCGATATTTTTCCTAGCCTAAAACCTCGCGCCATTCCATGTCTTCTCCCCTACCCACCTAGATTCTAAGATTCTAACAGCCATGACATAGCCCGCGGTAATTTCACACCTTGAAACTGGGGACATAAGAATTTTTGTTTCCACCCTGACTATTTATGAGTGCCTAGACAGTACCAAGCTTGGCAAACCCCACGCAGGCAAAAACTGGGAGCACTGCCGAAGCTGACGTCGGGTTTCCTGGCTCGAGAAACACTAAATCGAGCAGTAAATGTTTCGTCTAGAAACCCAAGTTCTTTTTTGTTTCAAGGGTATCCACATCTGGTATTCAGGAGCTGCATTTGGGGGGCGAATACCCTCTCGGCGGAGCCCCCTTTGAAAATACAGCGGGCTAAGTGTATCTACATTGCAGGTGTGACAAGAACGTCGTTCATCTCGCTGCATTGCTTAAGACATACAAATAGGGAAGTTTGAAGATGGAGGATAGGACATCGACCTTGAATAAGAGTGAAGAAAGTGTCAAACATATTTGTATTTGTATATGTCGAGAGCGCTACTTTCTAGTGCTTGTCGACGATTACACGCCCTACACCACGGTGTTTCCCATGGAGCGGAAGGCCGACGTGCCTGGCGTTCTTATCTCGTGGATCGTAGCTGCACGAGTCAAATGCAGCCTCCCCATGCTTTGTCTCCACTCCGACCGTGGCGACGAGTTTGCCTCAGGTTGCCTTGGCCAGTTCTGTCGCGCAGAGGGCATCACCCAGTCATACACCCTGCCGCACTCTCTACAGTAGAATGAGGTCGATGAGCAACACATCGGTTTGGTCATGGAGGTGGCTTGTACCTCCATGATACATGCCGGTGCAACCCATTTTCTGTGGCCGTTCGCTGTTCGCTAAGCCGCTCACCAGCTTATCATGTAGCCGCACCCGATTTCGCCGACCCTTCTTTGGACCGAGTTCCCTGGTAACGCGTTCGTGTTCCACATCTGGGGTTGTCTTGGTCACGTTCGTGCCTCTGGCCCGGACAAGCTCACTTCCCGCACTGTCCCCAGTGTCTTCTTTGGTTTCCCCCTTTACTCGTCTGACAAGCACTTTTACCACCCGCCGTCTCACCGCTTCTTTCACTCACGTGACGTCACTTTCGACGGGTCTGTCTCCTTCTACCATTGCTTTCCCTACCAAGGTCTCCTGGTTTCCTCTCCCATGTTTCTGGTTCCCACTCCCCCGGTAGCCCCTTCTCCCCCCCCTCCCCTTCCTGCTCCATTTGGTGTGTCCCCCGTCACTCCCCATCCGTCGGTTGTCCCGGTCGAGGAGTCGGCTGACTCTGGTAGCCCCGCAGCGCAGTTCTCGTTGCCTGTTCCTCCCCCTGTGTCCCCTCCTCCACCATCGCAGCAGCCGCCATCATCGCCGCCGCAGAAGCAGCCGCAGGAGTCGTCGCATTCGCAGCAGCAGCCACCGCCGCCGCAGCGTCAGAAGCCGTCCGCGCGCTTTGGGGGTGCGGACGTTCTGGAGGGTGTTGGTTCTAGGTGTGCTCGTCCTGGGGTTCCTGTTGTAGCTTGTCCCGGCGGTCTCGGGGGTGGCACCGGTGCTGGCGAGGATTCTTATTCTGGGGGTGCTCGAGTGAAGCGTTCTAGAGGTAGCCGTGCTAAAGCTGGAGGTTGTGGTGTCACCGTGGAGCAGCAGCAGCAAGCGCCACGATGTCCGCTCTTCGCCTGCTCAGCCTTCCCTCCCCTGACCGCCCGCCCACGCCTTCCCCGCTGCTGCCTTCTTTGCCTGTCTACGGCCCTGTATTTTCTCCGCCTGACTCGTCCCCGGCTCGTTTCCCCCCTCGTTCTCCTCCTGTGACTCCTCCTGTGTCTCCTGACCCGACGCCTCCGTTCAACTTCTAGCCTCGTCGTCCCTCTCGTGCTCGTCATGTCTCTCCTATATAGCGCTCTCACCCCATGTTGCTTCGTTCCCACGCGTCTCGTCCTCCCCTCCTCCCCTCGCCTCCTCTGTCATCGCTCGTTGTCGCTCCGCCTCCTCTGTCGCTCGTCCTCTTGTTCCTTGGGTCCTTGCCTCCCTCGTTACTGACCCGTCTATTCCTGTCTCGAGCCTTGACGCTCTTATCGCTGCTGTCGCTGATTTCGCCTCTACCCGCCGCCTTGATTACGCCACAGCTCTGGTCTCTGGCCGTGCCTGCCTTCCGTCTATCGGGGGTGCTCCATCCCTTGGCAGTGACGTCCTAGAGGACAGGCAGTACGAGCTTGCGTTCCTAACTGAGGCTGCTCCCCATTTCTGTTCCGTGCGGCTAGTCCCTGAGGGTGACCCAAACGCCCTTGACATCCCGACCCCTCGCACTTACGCTGAGGCGATCTTGGGACCCAGTGCCTCTCAGTGGATAGGTGCCATGGAGCAGGAGATGACATTTTGGAGATCCACCGGCACTTTCGTCGACGCAGTTTCCCCGCCTGTGGTGAACATCGTCGATGGCCGGTGTTCAATGCGCGCTTTGGGCTAGAGGCTTCAGACAGTGCGAGGTTGTGGACTTTTTTCAGACCTTCGCCCCGACACCGAAGATGACTACTCTTCAAACGCTGCTAGACGCAGCAGCACAGCGTGAATACGAGCTGCACTCCCTCGACTTCTCCACTACGTTTCTTCAGGGCTGACTACACGAGCACGTCTACCTGCGCCGTCCACAGGGCTTCACCGGTACTTTCCCTCCTAGTACCCAGTAGCTCCTCCGGTGCCCGGTTTACAGCTTGCGACAGACGCTCCGCGAGTGGCACGACACACTTCATGCTACGCTAGCTCACCTGCATTTTTTCCCGTCGTCTGCAGACCCCTCGCTCTTCGTTCGTGCTGGCCAGACTCCGTTCTACATCATTGGTTACATAGACGACCTGGTATTTGCTACTGCAGATAGAGACGCACTAGCCTCTATGAAGGCTGAGCTGCTGAGGAGACACACCTACACTGACCTAGGAGAGCTACACCGCTACCTTGGCCTGCAAATCTCCAGGGACAGAGCAGCGCACACCATCACTCTCATACAGTCACACTTGGTGCGCCAGGTCCTTCAGAGGTTTGGTCTTCAGTTCTCCTCTGCACAGCCCACACCTCTGCTAGTAGACCACTGGCTCTCTGCTCCAGTTCCTTAGAAGTCAGTAGAGCCTAGTGGTCCTTACGCAGAGCTGGTGGGTTGCCTTATGTACATGATGACTTGCACTCGTCCAGATCTCGCATACCCTCTCAGCATAATGGCGCGCTTTGTGGTTACAGGGAGACACCTACCACAGCACTGGTCGGCAGCAAAGAGGGTTTTGCATTATCTAGCAAGTACATTGGACATGGGGCTCGTGCTGTGAGGACACAGGCCAGTGGTCCTTACTGTGCACACAGGCGCTTCGTGGGCAGA